TGGTAAAAGCTCCAAAATTAGATGTGTTGGCTATAGTTTTGTTTTTACTACCCAGACTTGGGATTTTGGGTTTATCAGAATGAGAATCAGAATTGTTTATTGCCAAGTACGTTACACACACAAGGAATTTGATTATCTGGTGAGCTAGTTGGCTTCCAGACAGCCACGACAACAAGGGGCTGACAGGAATACACACTAAGCATAAACACTGTGTGCACCACCCTCTCTTCTCTCTCGGCTGCGCCATGAATAATGCAGGCTCTAAAATCCCCAACTCAACACTATGCTTGACCTGCTCATTTGTTGTCGTAAAGCCAGGATGGTGAGACCAGATTGTGGATGTGTTAGTGCTGGGTAGAAGCAGAGGCTAATAGCAACAGCAGGACAGGCAGCAGCTTCGCTACTTCTCATGCTACCAGTGTCACTCAGGGCTGACACCATAAATCTCACTTATTTTCAGATCCAACCGAGACACAGGCAGAAATTACAGCCCAGAACACATTACCAGCCACAGCAGCGTGCTGAATGCTAACAGAGGGAGAGAGAGAGATCCTTGATAAAGCAGACGGGCAGTTCTCCCACAGATTATTGAACACAATCTGTGAAATTTTGGGGGACAGATTGGCTAGTAAGAAAAGCACAAACAACTGCAACATGTCCTTCTTTTAATCATTTATATGTTAAGTGCTATACAAATTATCATAACTATTCATAATAATTACAAAAGAGAGAGTGACCAAAAGAAGGATACATGTCAATAGGGAATGACAGAGAGATGCGACAAGTAAATGTCTACTCAATGCTCATTTTTACCCCTGCTTCCCATAGTGCCATGTTTCAAGAATACAGGTTTGGGCTCCAATGCAGAAAAGGATGCGGAGGCAGCAGAAACATGAAATAATTCAGAAAAGAACAATTTTTCACAAGCTGAATGTCCGATGGCAGGCAGGAAACCTAATCCACCAGGCCCGACCAAAAGAAATAAACTCAAAACACCAGAAGAAGACTATTACCAGGAAAAAAACAGGTGAAACAGCATAGCTACGATGAACTGACAATAAAACTGAGGAAACACAGCGTGATTAGACACAAGCCGAAATAGGCTTCTTGTTTCAGGTGTTACTATGAGACGGCTTCTCTTACTTCTACTTGCTTGGCTTCTACTTCAGCCATAGTGAAGCACTGCCAGGGAACCCGAGACCTCGGGTGTCCCGAAAGCTCCAGGTTAACTTTGTGGTGAATGTTATAGTTTGATTATTTGTAAATTAGTTCAGTAATACTGTATACATCACAAAGAGCACAATCTAAACTGGGAATGACAGGGGCCTTTATGTAGCGTCTGCATCATTACATAATCTTGAGAATCCGTCTTGGAGAGGTCCTAATATGGACCCAAAAAACATGACAAAATGATGGCATTATGGCTCTGGTAAAGACAATGCCTACTGTTCTATTTAGAGAGCACATTGCCCCAAATATTAAAAAACAATATACTTCACCATACACTTTGATGGTCAGAAGCCACGGTGTTGTGTAAGTGATGTAATCCATTCAAATCCAATTGTGAAATCTGTTGCATTATTATTTGATACAAAGGGAGATTGCTTTATGACAAAAAAATGAAAAGATGTGTTTACTTTGCAACACATCTGCATCACTTAACTTCTATTCAGGCTGTTTAAATCAAACTTCATGTTGATGAACCTCATCTGAATACAGTATACCGGATGTTATCAAGGATTACTATTATTTGTTATCCTTTTTCGCTCCTAGAATCAATGCACACAGGACAAAAGAGGACAGAGTAACACCTTTATATCCTGCAGGCAACACACACGAGAAACATAAATTGCTACATGTTGCACCTTTTAATTTTCTAAAAAGAAGGAACATAAAAACAAAGCAGCTACAGAACTAAGGTTTGAATGCATTTTGGTGATATTCCCTTTTTTGATATCTGGCGTCTCAAGTAAGAAACTTATTAATTTCTGTCCATAATAAAAACTGTCATCAAGTTTTACCAGTTTCACAAACGTCTTCTTTCACTCTCTACTGTAAGATACTCAGTCGAGTAATGCTGCAGGTCTCCATTCCAGTGTTTAATTGCGCTGTCTATCTGAGTGTTGGACCATTGATGCATCACTGTGGGATCCCGCTGTGGCTTATTACCGTCAAGCCATGCTCTCTGATGCTCTCAACCTGCTGGGTCATCTCCAGCTGCTGTAATATAACACTAGCCTCCGCTTTCACCAGGTCCCAACCATTTACCCCATCATGTATTATAGATGACCCTCTGGAAATGGAGGAATCCCGGCAGACACAGAATTAATTTACAGCAACACTCGATTTTAAGGGGAATTGAATCAAAGTCAGAGGCACGGGGGGGGGGGGGGGTATATTGCTATATAACACTGTCACAGTCTATAAAATTGTAATGAAAACCCATTTGAAGATTAAGTGTTTTTTTGTGATTTATAGCTATCTCTTGGCTCAACTAATAATCATTTCACTCCAAAGCTGACTGGTCCCAGTAATTGATGCTTACAAACGACCAGGCTCCTTTCAACCAAACTTAATCCTCCTTTTCTCGCTCACAAACACAAGGGGAAGTGTTTAGAAATAGAGTTAAGAGGGCACTGTACAAATCTTGTGTTCGTCCCTGGTGACAATGGGATACCCATGAATGTGCTTCCAGGAAGTCGGGCATTGTAGATTGGTCCTGTCTGCGCTTGTCAGCTTTAACAATATTACTCTAAACAAATGTGACATTTGATTCGGCAGTCATCACTCCTGAGTAAGATTTCAGTGTTAAAAGAAAAATAATAGTAGCTTCCTCAATAGAAGAGCACTGAAATGTCTTCAGTGCTGGCAAAGCTTCAATATAGTGCCAAGAAAAGGTGTCTTGGGGTTCCTTTCCATTGAAATTTAAGTAGGGCTTTTGTCTAAGACCATCCCAGTAGCAGAATGAAAACATGGTACAATGAGGGGTCTTTGTCATGCTGTGCACTTAGCTTAAGAAAGTAATTTCAGTTCCCCAATGGCAAAAAAGCCATGTTCATTGTACAAGTATTGAGACGTACACTTTGACCTCCAATGCAGCTATTTGCTGAGCTACCCAGGGGTCCATATTAATCTGTCTAATTCAAGAGCCATTTCTCCAATCCAACGTGGCTTTGGAGAGAAAAAGTTACCTCAAACTCATCGTAATTGGCCCCAATTATCTTCTGTGACAATAGTGGTGTGTGTGAGAGACTGTGTGCATGTGTAACGAAAGGTTAAGATGTATGTCCATAGTGATGAAGCAGTGCCATCAAACTTAAAGAACCAAGGCTGTCTAGACCGCTGAGGTACCTCTAATACAGCCCAGTGGTAAATTGCAGCCTTAGTTACACAGAGCCGATGGCCGATTGGCCAGTAAGTACAAATTTACCCAGGACTGAATAACTAAATATTTAATCAAAATATGAAAATTATTATTATTATAATTTCTATGCGGAAGAGTACTGCAGTCAAGTTTTGATTTTATAGTGGAAATTATGCGATTTGGTGTGGTTTCCTTTATAGCACATATATGTAAATTAAATTAATGTACTTTTGTAAAATGGTTAAAATAGTGGTTAAAATAAGGGTATTTTATGGACAAGAAAGCTGACAGAACACAGTTTGCTGAATTTTATTTTTGCATTCTGTGAAGATTATCCAAATGCAGAGCTCAGTATGTGAATTCTCCCCCCAGTAAACTAGAGGCATTACAAACTTCTGTTACGCAGTTTGCCAGGGAGCCTGAAAACTTTAAACCCTTTAATCTCAACTTCACTTTGTAGGGCAGTATTGTTCTTGCATTCTATCCCCATATGTTTCCTGGTACCACTTGTGTTTTCTGTATTTACTGCACTTTACATTCCTGTCAGAAAGGCCCCTTATCAATAAAATGTTACACTGATCATTTATTTATGAGGCTGATTCTATGATGTACTTTTCAGTCTGTCCAATCTCCCCGTGGTCTGGGAGATAAATGCTTTAGGGGGTAGAGGGTTTGTTGGAACTGTTTAGTTTTCACATTGAGAATAGAGGCCAGGCATATGACTGAAGGAAGAAATGAAATTCACTATGCATTCCAAACAAGGCAGTGTTTGAGACGTCTCCTGGGCAATTATACATGCACAAGAGGAGGGCAATCACAACCACCACAGTTACTGCAAAGAGTGCCTTCAAATTGCTGTGGATCCAGGACACTATGAATAACAGCCGGGTCGACCATTGAAACAGAAACACTCAGTGCCTTCATGTCACTGCATCACTATCGGTGACTGAGCAGAGAAGTGAATGACTCATAGAAAAATGTTGATGTAATGGAGCATGAATAATTTCCCCACGTGAAATATAATTCTTGAAGCGTTTCATTTGTCTCCTGTTGATAATCAAGTAAAATCAAAATGTTATCTGCCGATCAGTAATTTTTGTGACCAGCCAAGCACAATGTTATGCTGATTACTTTAATCAATTAGCTGGCTGAAGAGCGTGGCAGTGAGGACAACGTTTAGTATTCAGCTTGACAGTTGCAATGACAATAATTAGAGAACCCAGAAATTGTTATGGTTCATTTCACATTGTGGCAACTCAGCTTAGAAACTCCAAAGTAACTATTCAAAAATCAATCAACACAAAATGCTGCATGTTTGAACAAAGGTGCTCAGTAGACCTGGTCCAGCTGAATTTAAATAACAAAAATAACAAAAACATGTACTTTTAGCGGCTGTAACACCGTCCACCCAGCAGTGGCTCTGATTATACAACAGTTTACCCGATAATCACTAATTGAGCGCTGACTGTGCAAAACCTCCTTAGGGCATTTTCAATACTACTTGTTACTTGCACTATTTCTGTTGTTTTCTGAGCTTGTAATCCCTGAGGGTCTGTTATTGGATGGAGGTGGATTAGAGACCTGCCAGGCCTTCGACCGTTGCTGTGCTGATCTCTCTGCCTCTTTCTGTCTCTAGGACTCTGAGATTTTGAACACCGCCGTGCTGACTGGGAAGACAGTGGCTGTCCCTGTAAAAGTGGTGACCATTGGAATAGACACCTCTGTCACAGATGTCTCCGATGCAGTCAAGTGTCGTACTACAGACGAAGATGTGGTCAAGGTCAGTAAGATGAATTCCTGAAGAAACGAGCCTTTCCATCCACCTGTTTATGCACATTTTCAATTTGAGCTAATCTCAGGAAAACCAGAAGAAGGACTGAGCTGAAATGGGTGTATTTAATGACTGACACAATGCAGGTATTGTTTGACAGACACTGCATTAGAGCTTATGTGAAAGCAATACTGAGAATATAAAAAATGCGACAGATGAGAAGATTTTCTATGTTTAGCACATCTATATAAATCCTCCAGAAAGGATAAACAAACACCAGCAAACAACATGAAAGTGTGTGTTTGATATGCAGTGACTGCTGACAGGTTGCGCAAATGTTCTTTTATTTTTAGAGCCCCTTTCAAACCTGGGGCACAAGGCACAACAGAGCAGAAAGTCCCTTACAGTGTTATAAAGTTGAGCCCTGGCATCAGTGTTGCGCTCCAACAGAATTCCAATGACGTCTTAATAATCTGTAGAAAGACTCAATAAAAACCAGAGAAATAAATCACATCTGTCTGTGTTCTGTTTCTAATAATAAGTGGCTGAGATGTTGCTCAGGATCTAGAAACAGCACCCTGCTGTGGTGTCAAGGGCTCCTTCCAATTGTGTTTGAATCTGTCCAGATTAGAATGGACAGGATGCAGCAAATCAAACAGAAGTTATGAACACCAAAGAGAACAACAATGAAACAAAATCATAAGCAGAGGACGATCTTTCGCCACAACGATCCACTTTATCATGTCTGATGCGTGAGTTAGGGATGGTTAAGTGAGTTCCAGAGGGAAATTAAATTGTAGTCAAAGGAGTTTTGAAACAAATGGCCACAGCTCTGCTGCTGACATCTCTTGGTCAGAGCATTCGTCCTACTCACTGGCGCTCACTCAGGGAAGTTCTTCTCAGCCTGTGATGTTGTATGTAAACATGACTAATTTATCCAATTATGACCCGGGGAATTAGTGAGAAGTAAACACAGAGCGACATTAAACCGGAATAATGAATCACTGTGCACAACAAATGATGCTTCTACTCACTTGTGACCTTATAATTGCAATGAATTTTAAATAAATACCTCAGGTCATAGGCTTTTTCTTTAAACCTCTTTGGAGATTTGTCTTCTTTAAACAAATTAATGTCTGACATGTAGGCTGAAATAAGGCTCTGACTCCATTCTTTTTACATGCACATGTTGCACTTTCTGGATTTGTAGTTGCATATTGCCTTAAAAGATGACAATGCGTCAATATGTCTATATGTTATTAGAGTTTTAAATGTACCATTTTGTCTGTCGGTTTCTTAGATATAAAGGTCCAAATATCATGCTTTTCGGGCATAAAGCATGATATTTTCTATAGAAAATATTATTTCAATTGGTCACACACACACACAAAGAATATTGAAACAGCAAAATCAACAGCACAAACACGTTCCACAGATAAATCATGTGTTAATGAATTTCCAGAGCAAATCTTCTGTCTCCTTGTTAGCCATGAACGTTACTTCCTCAAGGTCATGCTATGGGCTCTTCTAACCACTGCTTCCACGGAGCAGGGCTTTTACAATATGTATACAGACCTTCCCGTTGCATCGAAGTGAGCGCTGTAGCTTACTCAGAGGAGTCTGAGCTGCTTAATTGCTTCTGTCAAGCCAACTGTGTGCACAAACCAGAGACAGGCTCACCCCACCTTCATGCTCCGTACTCCCATCGCTCATATCTGCCGTGGATTGTATCCGTCTGGTGAGTTGTTAATTTCCTGGGCTAGATCCAGAGACAGCCTTAATGCCCTCTGTAAGTATTCTCCCGTTAGCTGCCTAATGCGTCTGATTAATGCGGCGGTGGATCTTCCTGGACGTTTATGATACTTTGTGAATCAGAATGAAGGAGAGTTTGTAATTCACAGAGACAGTCCCACCCTCCGTCTGCCACAACATGCATATGAGGGGTTAAAGGTGCCGCTGATTAATTCAGGGGGTCTTTTTATGTTAAAATATTGAATTGGAGCTATGTCGGCCAATGTCAATGTCAGTGTAATGTGTTAGGATGGCTGCATGTCACCTGCCATGTTTGCCATAATTGTTTCCACTTAGTATGTTTGGGAGTAGATCAAAGAAATGCCAGCAGGCAGTTCATTTGCCTGTCATGGGACATTCTGTAGCAAACCTCAAAGCTAATAAATCCCACACTCATTACACGTTCTTTTCCTAATACAAATAAGGGTAAACTGACTTCTTGCAGCTTTTTTTCTGAATGTGGCAAGAAAAATAAGACAGGTAGGCATAAACATATTTGCCAGCAAAATCCTTATTATTGATCATCCATATCACTGTTGAATTTGGTCAATGAGCCTTACATGAAGCCCAGTCAGGTGTCGTCTAGCCTGCAAGCTAACGCTTGTGCGGCCCAAACTTGTGAGAGAAGTCGCAGACGAAACGGGCCGTTAAAGGCACTTCAGTATCAGCCGACTGAGAGCAGCGAGAGAGAGAGAGACGAACAATGAGGGCTGATAAGGAGCAGCGACTCCTCTGACATCTTAATCAGATCAAACACTCTCACACTGGAAGCTCTGACAGAGCCCGATCTGATCCATGACTGATTGTAGCCAGGGAGGGCCTCCGCCATAGAGATGTTTAACAGCTTAATTACAGCCCGTGTTACTTTGCAGCGTCGTGCTGCATTAGTGCATGAGCAAGGTACTACTACTGTACGTGTGCTCTGTACTATTTATTGGCTGTAATACCAGAGCAACTATCCACTGATCCTTCAGTCCTTAGCAGAAGTTCTCTCATGGTTGGCTGTAGCCTTGAAGGATGCCCTGCAGCGTGCTTTTAGCTTTCTCACAGGGGTTTCTAGGGATTCTTGTCTGGTGGGGAACCTTTTTGTACCATTTAAAAATGGTTACTGTCGATTTTTTTTTTTAAAGTTGAACTGAAATTGCATTTTTGCTAAGAAATGAGTATAAATGTCATTTAGGTTTTATTGGTTTTTCTCCTGTGATAGCATTAGTGTTCTGCATAGGACGTGAATTGTTGGTCCCGAGTGATAATGTGCTTTTACTGGTTATTTGATAGGTGCATTATATTTGCTGGCAGGCACTAGAAATAGTTCATTATATCACTCCAGCAGCCACAGTTAGCTGTTAAGTCCCATCTTTGATATGAGTGCTCCAAAAAGCCATACCCTCCCAAATGTTGCATGCCATAAAGGTCACAAATGTTCTATATCACTAACGGTATGCTACATAACCAACACTATGTGGGCTGGTTCAAAGGCAGGAAATAAAAAGTTATCTCTCAGTAACACTGGCCCTCAGATGTCAGTCAACCTCTGGGAAAACAACAGCAAAACTGGCGGCTTATAAAAACATAGTTGTGGGTTCTTTAGCCTGTTGGTAGTTCATCCCGCCACACAGCAGCCTTTAGGCATTTTTCTGTTGTTTGCTAGCAGACGAAAGTGACAAGCGCCTTCACACAATACAAAGTCAATGGAGAGCAATGAATTGTTATACAATCCGGTGTGGGCGGGACTTAATTGCACTGTTGTCGTGCTTTTTCTACAAATATGTGCAAAAATGGTTTTATTTTATCCTCCATTCCAAAAGGACATAAATAGCATTATAGCTGCAGTATTATAGTACATATTTCCTTACACTAATTAGAAATTTCAGTTTGACTTTAAAATTGAATTGCATTTCAAATGATAATTGGCACCTTGATTCATTGTAGGATTGCAGAAAGATCTTTTATTTTACACTCATATTGAGTAGTTGGGAGAATGAATGAATTCCTTCAGGAAATTATGTTTGTATCTTTTTCCCTAGCAGTATGCACACTTACAAAAAAGGCAAACCTGCTCAGAAAAAGAGTTCAATATGTTGCACTATTCAAATGCCCATATACAGTAGACACTTGCATCACATTAATTCATTCACATTGAAGGGAATCAACTTGAATGTGTTTGATGACTGTTTTGATTACACACGGCGCAGAATGTAAAATCAATGCACTCAATCTCCACCAACCAGACAAACTTTAGTTTCCACAAAAAGTATTGTGCTGGCTTCACTCTACAGGTGATGTGAAGTGGAGGGAGCTCACACAAACAATCTGTCACACACAAAGTGTTCTTCCTGGTCACAGAGGATATTCTGTCGCGGCTTCATGATTAATGGCTGTTTATGGTTTTATCTCGCTGTGGAGGAATAACTTGGGAATAGAGAAAAAAAAAAGATATTTCCCCAGACCATCTGGTTCCAGCCTTGGTATTCCCCTATATGATGGGATCAATAGGATTGACAAAGTGCCCAGAAAAGAACAAGGTATCTCTGCTAAAGACATACTGTGTCTTCTGAATATCTGTGTTGAGATCCTCTTTGGCTTTTGTGTATTTGCATATCTTTTGTGTTTGTTTTGCCTGCATGGCCATATAATAAGGCTTTTAAAGTGATGGAGAAAGAGGGGATTCTGGACATTAATCAAACGCTGACACAAGTAACAAAAGACACATTTGGGGGGGGGGGGGGCTTCAAAGAGAGTGAGCAGCACAAGGCAGCAACAAGGAGTTGTGTCTTTCTATAGCACAAATTTGGCCCGCTCACTCCTTTTACAAAGCAATTTTATGAAACAGATGGCTTTGAGTTTGGTTATTTTATCAAGAGACAACTGCTCTCTTTTTCCATCTGTTGGTTCCTCTTTTAGCTGTAGGCAGAAATATAATAGAAAAGCAGACCACGACCTGTTTTCCCTTAGGTTCAAAGATGCCCTCGCTGCCCCCCCCCCCCTTATTTCCCTGAGTGTGGCGCACATACAGGACCTTTCATCTTGTTCAAAGTAGTTACAAGAATACTGCATCAGTGAGGAGTGTAAACCTTATAATCAACTTGGAGAGCCCATGCTACAGTGTACCCGGTGCTGTATATTGCACTGTGTAATTCAATGTGTAGTCATCTACAGTATGTGCAACTGTCAGAAGAGCTCAACTTCTTAATCCTTCCCTCTCCTCTCACGCAGGTGTCAGACAGGTGCGACTATATTTTCGTGAATGGCAAGGAGATGAAGGGCAAGGTGAAGATGATGGTGAACTTCACCTACGGATACCTGAGTGCTCAACTGGAGCTCAACGTGTGGATCCCTCGACTCCCTCTCCAGATTGAGGTGTCAGACACGGAGCTGAGCCAGATCAAAGGGTGGAGGGTACCCATCATGGCCACCAGTCAGAGGTACAGGGCTGCATGCTTCGGTCAGTTACAGAGCAATGTGTCTCTCATTCAACACACGTTTTAATCTACATTGTTCCCCTTTTACAGACTCAATGATGAAATAGTAGCTTATTCACTATTTCTCTGGATTTGTCAGGATGAGATTAAACCAGAGAAATAGATATAATTGCAAGGTTTTGCCAGGTATGTTTGGCTGATTGGAGGCACTATAAGTTGACTCAGTCTTTACTTTACATTTACATGTTTTTTTCTTTTTGCAAGGGCTCACTTTTTCTCACTTCAATATTTTTGTATGATCATCTGTGCAAAGTGTAACTCAGGCACAATTTCCAATTATCGAATGAAACAGCATCATGGTTATGGCACACATTTTTATTTGAACGGATCCAAATTTGATTCTTAGTGGGGTTTTATTCATTCTTTACCAATAGCGCTTCTAGATTTTCTTCTTGGCATCACAGAAATGCTCACGATCAGAGCCCTTTGTCCTCCTTCGCAGCAGCACTAGCTTCCTTCAAGAGGGTAACGAATGGCCTTTAATCCAGGTGATGTATTTGATTTTGATCACGGCAGCCTTAGATAAGATAATGATGAGACGTTTGACTGAACACCACTCCGCTTGTCTCTTCCTGACTTCACTCCTGCTGACAGTTCTTGGCTGATAACAAAATGGCTGACCTGTGCAATACAGCTTGTCATTACGACCGGCTTAAGGCGGCCTGCCATTTTGCCTCTCAGTCGTCAGTAAAAAAAGAACATTATTAGAGCTGCCTTGAGGTCAGACCTCTCCCTCGGGTGCCTCATCACTAGCAGCACCTCTGCCAACACCGCTGTGCAGTGCATCTCTGCAACTGTTGAAATCCATCAATTGATGGAGCAGCTATCAGCTTACCTGCAGTAATTACCTCTGGAAAAGTGTTGGGGTTGGTCTTGGGTTTGGGAGTCATCCCACGCACCAGTGTGGCTGCTCTAATTATCCCTGCTCTCCTCTTATTTTGAGTGACAGAGGTACAGCATTCGACTAATGCCACGGCTTGTCGAGGATGTTGCTTTCCCAGCTGTGTGCTGGTACGCCTTTATCAGCATGGACAGCCGAGTTGCGTTGTCATTCTCACTGCTGTTGGGCAGCAGAGAACTTTGTTTCTCCCTGTCTTCCACCCGTCTTTGTTTATCAGGGGATAGCAGGCGCGACCTTGCAAAGTAGCACTATGTCTGTTGGTGAGAATGGGCACTGCTCCACTGTCCATAAGCCCACGAGGAACTGAGCCACAGAGCGACAATAGCAAGTGGCGGGACTCTTCCTTTATCGGCCAGGCTGGCATGTCGGGGGCCACATTGGGTTGAGCGAGAGAAATGAGGGAATAGAGACACCAGGCCTGCAAGTTGGATAGTCGCAAAAAGTACTCTTCACACAGTTTTTGACTGGCACTGCCTGTATGGCTCACCTCTTCCCTCCCTAAGCCCTGTCAAAACAGGGACAAGATAAGCCTTCGCAGACAGCAAACCTAAGTGTAGGCGTAGCACTCAGGCATGCACCACTCCTTTTACACATCTCCCAAGAAGTGTATATTGTGATTCCTTTTCCCCCTTATTGTGTCAATAAAAATATCTTGCAGTTACCTTTTGTTTTACACAGAGTTGGCGTAAACTGTGTACTGAGTGCTTTCTCTCTACTGTAAAACAAGGTTGTACTTGAATCCCCTACAATATTCAAATAATAGAAAAACAATCAAGCATCAGATGGAGCTGCATGGATCTGTAAATATCAGCAGCTCTGCCTTTTTTCTGTCCAAATGACCTTCGTCATGTTGTAGCAAGAAATAATATGCAGCGAAATGCCAAAACAAATACGGCACACGATCCACGGGGCACAACAAAAATAAGCATGACACACACATTAATATGCAGCATCGCCTCTGAAGTCACAACTGGGCTCGAAAGTGACTGAAGCGGAAAGAAAGATTGCTTTGTGTAGCAGGTTGTTCTCGGCACTGAGTGCGATTTGTTTATTAGATTAACCTTAGATTAGATTTTGAGGTGGCTGCACAAGCACTGGCATATCAGATTTATACCGGAGCTAAAACGATCCGACTTCACTATCAGCTTGTTTGCTCCTGAAACCATTACACCCTCCTTATAAATACACTGTTTAAACGCTGATTCAGTCAATATGTCGGTTACAGACTCCTGTAACATCAGTGCCATTTGTCAACTCATCGTCTGTGAATGTCAAATAACAAATTCTGTTTACGCTGAAAACGCTCACAATATGATTCAAAAGGATTTAACTAAAGCAGTCAGCGGTGAGAAACTTTCAATTACTGCCATTGGAATAATTGGAAGGTGGTGACTGAAATCATTGGCAGATGGTTTTCTCCTCTGCATCTAATATGTAAATGAGTGGATAGTCAGTCGTGAACAGGAATCTGTTAAAGGAGAAGATAAATTGTATAAGAGAAAAATGCGACATAAAATGAATGTCACAAAATCACAATCCCTGCTATTCAGTTGCAATCTGAGGTGGTGCTACATTTCATGCAGAAGGTATTTCTTTTGTTTGTGTAACTAAAACTATTATTGACCAGAAGGACTCAAATAACCCCATCCTCGCCTGGAAATTGAATGCAGTGTTCCACTTTTGTGTGGAAAGTGACATAAAAATCATAAGCGGAGGAGTTAGCGTTCATGAATATGCATTAAATGTGTCAAGGCTGCTTAGGCACAACAGATCTGCTATGTTAATCTCGTGTTACAGGCGTTTCTAAAACAGTGCCAAAAATGAAACTTTTTAAAAACACTGTTCGCAGACATGTTCAGTGCTATGCAAAGGACAAACAGATCACCAGACATGCATCCTGCTCTGGTATAGTGATAAGACTGATGACACCAGGCTGATACACCACTCATTTCCACTTTGTGTTGTCTTCGAAAAACTACTGAGAATTTGACTGTGTCCTTATTTAAGTGTTCAACTTTTGTTTTATTTTAATTTAGATTATTGCTCATTCAGTCATGCATATTGGATGTTACAGATAAATATATGACGTTTTCAGGGCCTCTAACACACCAACATCAAACAAATAGTGAAATAATCATTTGTTTTGTTTTTGTATTTCGTATTTGAGCACGACAGACACTTATAAATGTGTCCAAACACATGTACCAGTTGTTCTTGTTGAATCCTGCATCCAAATGTTTTCTTTTAGTGATCCCACAATATCCAGAGTCATTTCCTCTGTGAATGGCTGTTATTCAGTTGCATGTGAAATCGTTTTTTTTTAAGCCCTTAACTCCAAATCTCACTGGCTTTTCTCTGGAGCATGCAGCTAACATCTTTATTCCCTCGGCTTCACGTGCAGTCCGATTTCTCAGCCGATTCAAACAAGAAAGAGACAAGCAGAGCGGATAATCGCAAGAAAAACTGTTTAAGAGATTAAGTTATTTTCTCCTCCACTTTATCATGACGGACCTTTGGTGTGTTTGTGTGTGTGAGAGAGAAAGAAGACGGGTGCGTCTATATGCAGAATATGGTTAGCAGTTTTGTTGACAAAGCACTTTTCCTGTTTGAAAGTGTCCCACCTGTGCCCCAGTGTAAGAGTGAAGAGCTGGAGCAGCATTTATTCTCCCAGATCAACCGTTCAAACATTGCTTTCTCAACATCTTAGTGTGCTTCATCTGTTGTTTGCTCAAGCAAAATAAAAAAAAACAGTTATGGGCAAAATCTAATGATATTGCAGCTGTATTGTAACCATTTAAACCATGAAACCCAGTTTGTCACACTTAAAGCAATTTTCCTGGTGAGAAAGAGCTGAGCCCTGTTGGCTGATTTGTTGCCTAAAGTAATAAAATTTGATTTCCTGGCAACAGAGCAATGAGGAAGGCTATTAAGTAAGCAGTAAAGAGGTGTGTGCACATTCACAACCCAGGCCAGGTACTACAAAACAGTGAAGGAGAGACTCAGAGGGAAAAATGATCCTCCCTTAGTGGCTTAATCAACAACATTGCATCGTTACTTCATCTTCGTCGGGTAAACATTCCTGTGTTGGTTACACTGCTCTGTGTGTGTGAATGTTTGACAGAGATCAGTTTATGTTCAATGCTGCTGAAAATACTACGGACCACACATCAATGCAATGCTTACATGCAAATGTGTTGCAGGTATAATGTTGCCATGTTTAGCGTGTTAGCATACTGAATTTTACAGAAAAGTACAGATGAGGCTGATGTGGATGTCATTAGTTCTGCAGGTATTCGGTCATAAAACATATTTATACATTTTGGATTCTTCATTTGGGGACCATACATGTCTCTACCAAATTTCATGGCAATCCATCTGATAAGTACTGAAGTTTCAGTCCAGACCAATGTATTGGACCGACCAACATTGCTATCCATAAAGAAAAGTTCCTCCCAGTTTGCACATCAGGTTTTTATTCTTTTTTTATTGCAAGGTCCACACGGGACAGCGAGGATGAGGATGATGAAGACAGACGAGGGCGAAGCTGCACCCTGCAGTACCAACATGCCATGGTCAGAGTCCTAACCCATTTTGTAGCTGAGTCAGCTGATCCTCGAGGCCAAACCAGCTTCATGCTGGGCACCGATTGGCAGGCGGACATCACAGAGCTGGTGTGGGACTTCCTGAAAGTAGAGGACTCGCAGATTGCAAAGCTACAGGACAGGAGGATACTGGTGGGACTGGACATGGGGATGACAACAATCCAGGTGGGCTTGAAAGGATTTTGTGTAATTGTTAGATAACAATTCCAGTTTATCCTGTTGCTTAAATTAAGTTGATATGACAGTCAATCAGAGAGTTTGTTAACAAATCCTCAGGTCAGCCAAAATGTATTATTACTACCTAAAAGCTACATGCAAACCATCTATCGTAGCATACATACCAACTTCCTGGTTTAACTTTTAACCTACTGTACTCTCCATAGTTGTTCATGCACACTTTGGTGAGTTTAAAATATTGTACTAATTAATAGAAACGATGGCGACACTATGATAAGACCAAATTGTAATAAACCTGAAGAGCAGTGTTTTTTAAATAGGCAGGCCTAAATAAAAAGATCAAGGTTGGTGACCTTCGTCTCATGCTTGTGGCATTGTTAATAATAGAGGGAGCACTAGCAATTGTAATGTTCCACTTGTGCCAGTACTTCCCAAAATTAAAACCATATTCCCCATGAACCCTGTTGCTTCCTGTCTCAAAGAAGGTCTAGCCACTTGTTCTCCTTCTTTCCTCCCAAAATCTGATGATGTAAACTGCATTGCAGAGGGCACTGGAGGCCGTCAATGATCTTGGCAGAGGTCTGATTTAGTAATTACAGAATACAATGCCTAAACTATTTGAATAGCTCACAACTAATATGATAATAATGTTATGACTGTAAAAGTATCACCAAATTACACATTCAAATTATTTGAAATATGTTAAAAAAGCACCACGTGTATTTAGGTGCTGTCAGCACAAATGTACGTTAGAATACATTGTAGGACTATGTACATATGGTTTATTCCAGGGACAATAACAGCCGCCACTGTCGCTGCTGTGGTCTGACTAGTACGTCCTTTTGTCTAGTGCAGACAGGTGCTTACTGGTGTGTCACAGCCTGTCGGCCTACAGCGGGCTCTCAGCAGTGAGTGGGTCCTCCCCCTCGGCCCTTTGGTCTGGCATGCTCTTCAGGCCAACTGGATGATTATCAGCCTCCTAATGGCATCTCTGTGAGTGGGCTCTGCTCCCTGGCGTCGAGGACTCATCTGTCTATCTATGTGCAGACGTGTCTCCACCTTCGCAAAAACATCCGCGCACTAACAAAACAAGTACGGACCGGAAAAGGCGATGAGCGCGAAGGTCTGACAGCTGGGACTACCTGTGCCACTCGTCACACAGACTGATGCACGGGCAGACGTTCACAAAGACGTGCATGCGGAGACAGTCACACATATCACACATGGCATTCATCATAACTTCTTCCTGTTTCCGAATTGGGGTTAAAGTGTGTCTTTCCTCTGGATTACCAGTATTAATCAAAGGGAATGGATTCTCACCTGCAGGAGGTATTGGGGCTGGATGGCAGCCAAGTCCAGTTGTTTGATCTACACAGCCTGAGTAAAGAGATAAAATGTAAAAAAAGTAGGTTTTGCATGTTGCGCAGGGGCTTGTGAGCTTTTTATGTTAGATGAAACACTTGGAAAGACATATTCTTAAATCACCTGTAACTCGTGGTAATCCGCTTTTTTTTCATGTCTGTGACATCTTCACTGCTAAGTGCTTATTGATGGGATGTTTTTGCATTCCACCTGCCAGGAATGCCTTGTCAGTCAAGCGATGTGACCAGTGTTGTTACTTCTGCTTGAAGTTTTTGTTGATGAAGTTTCTCCAAGTAGTGCTCTTTTTTTTGTGTTCGGCTACAGTTGCTGTCGCTGCTGATTTCTCCTGGGAAACATCTCCTCAGCCCTGGGTGTTTAGAGCAGGAAATGAAAAAGCTTTCATGAACAGGGTATACAATAGGTTGATTCAATATTGTAGAGTAGCACAGCTGTAATTGATCATACCAAAATGTCACGGGTTATTGCAATCACGTATTTGAGGGAAATGTTGTGGAACAAAAGCTAATTCTTCACCTTTTCCTTTTAAAATTCCTTTAATGTCACAGTTGTAATCATTTTCTGCCTCTTTTCTTTCTCTACCGTCTTCGCACCTCCTAGGTGTTGTCTCCTTTGTCAGACTCCATCCTGGCAGAGAAGACCATCACTGTGGTGGATGACAAAGTGACCATCACAGAGCTGGGGGTCCAGCTGGTGACGGGCCTCTCCATGAGCCTTCAGCTCAGTCCTGGAAGCAACAGAGCCATCCTGGCCACCACGACCACGCAGGAGATTCTGCAGAGCCCCAAACAGGTCAGGACACAGTAATACAGGTCACTGATTGTGAGGCTGAACCTAAATGCGGACGCTGGACAGGCTGGTAGGTGAAAAACAAGTCTCTTTATTAACAGTAAGGTGAAATGGAGGCTGGCTGAGGTGAGAGAAAGGGGATCCAGGGGAGAAAGCTTGGCAGAGGGAATTTAGAGGTGAGAGCTGCTTGGCTCTGCAAATAGACAAGGCAGGCAGGTTATCCAGGAGAGAAGAGAGCAAGGCGTAAGATACCGTATTGTGAGCAGGCAGGCAGACAAACAAACTAAACAACAGAAATGTCAAGCTGGCAAGCTAAACTAGGTAAAGCTCTGGAAGCGTGGCACATTGACAAACCATGAACGGCACAACAATCCTGCAGACTGGCTGTTGAAACAGGGTTTTAGAAGGGAAGAGCACCTGGAGTGATTGGCAGACAGGTGTGTTGATTTCAGGTGACGGGCAGGGACGTTGATTGCACATCATGGCCAGGTGAGCAGTGAGCGGGAGAGACAGAAAGGCCAAGAGAGGGGAGGGAAACGTGCAAACAGACAAAATCAAAACACACCAAACACTTCTCACTCAAACAAAGGCAGAAAACAAGAAAAGTGGAGCTTCAACAATTAGTTGATTAATCAGTAATCCATCGAGATGCAGCTATCTTGGTGATGGATTAAGTCATAATTCAAGCTTCATCAATGTGACGATCTACTGCTTTTCTTTGTCATATCTGATAGTTAACTTAATATCTGTAGGTTTTGGGATGTTGGCCTAATAAAACAAGCTATTTAATATTCATTTAGTCATATTTCATATCCCTTTAGGCTGCATTTTTCACTTTTTTGACATTTTATAGACCAAACTATGAATTGATTAATATTGAAGAAAATAATGGATAATGAAGATAATTGTTGCCGCCCTGTAAGAGACCTGAGGTAAAGTATGAAAGAGAAATTAAGTGTGACTTGAGCTTTGCCGCTCTTAGCCCCGTCAATTGAATACAAATCCTCTAATCTAATAGATTAAAAACAAAGACCAGTAATTATTTGCAAACACAATTTAGCCAGGTCTGATTAAAAAGAGAATAATTAGTTTTACACCAGTAATTATTAACTCTCAGCATTCATTTGTTATAGTTATTCTTTATAGACATTTGATGAAAAACAGACTTTTATACTGTACTGTATATCTAAAAAATGTGCATTCTGCAGCCTTGATTACTGTGCTTTTCAAAACAAAAGACTTCCTTCCAGATTTCATTTCACACTACCAGAGCCCTTGAATGAGCAATTTTACAATCAAAGAAAGCTGCGAGTGTGCATGTGCTCGTGAACACGTGTCTATTTGTTTGTTCTACACCGTCCCTAACCCTCTTAGCTCCCAGGCCTGAAAGCCAGAGTGTGACAGAATGTGTTTCCTTGGGCAGCTAATAGAAACGGGAGCTTAATCTCAGAGCATGCAAAAGAAACACCACAGCTTCGTACCAAAATGTGACTCACAGCACAAAAGTTCATATTTTGCTTCCCTTTCTCATTTGCCCTGGCTGCTCTCATTGTGGCCCCTTTGATCTGCCCATCAAGCCCTCTCACAAGTTCCCTGGACTGCTCCTTTACATTCCTCTCCCCTCCTCTTCCTCCAAGCAAGGAAGGATGGGAAGGCCATTTATCTCCCCTATCTCCACGCGCAAACTGTGAAGATAAGCAGGCAGCGCTGCACTGTAAGTCCCCTGGTGTCCGTAATTAGGGAGCGTTGACAGACCACTGTGGGGATCTACTTGTGCGCCTTTGGGGATTTGTTCTTTGGCAACATTAAAAGGCAAATTGTGAAATTGCAGTAGGAGAGGGCCTTGAGATGCCTATGTGTGGCAAATCCTCACCCGTTTAATGTTACTGTTTGATCTTTTCTGCCTATCTTTTAATCTTTATCCCCCGTAGTTTAGAGAGAATAGCCGCTGAGATATCAGAATGACTTAGTATTGGTCTTTCCACAACTAGGACACGCCATGTTTATCGTAAGTCTATTTGGTGCATTGACAAAAGGAGCACTATATGCAAATATTCATACCAATTCACTTTACTCCTGAGTGTAGAAGCCAGTAAGCTAGTGGGATATTACACCGTACCTGAACAACAACTGGTGGATGCTCTAACTCTCCAACAAAGAGGCCTTGCAATTTCAAAAATATTTTAGTGCTAATGCATTGAAAACAATTTGATCTGTTCCATTTCCATTTCCATTTCTTTGTAATATGAAGGCACAACATGTTGTCTGTCACTGACTATCTTCTCTCTCTCTTTGCCTATTGTTTGTGTGTGTGATCTCACAGGAGGCCTTGATCAGCGCGTGGCTACAGTTCAGCGACGGCTCTGTGGCTCCTCTAGATCTGTATAATGCCGACTTCTTTGTCCTGACGGCCACCTCCCTCGATGAGGAAATAGTGACAGTGCAGCAGAACCCCTCGTGGAAGTGGCCTGTCATCGTGACAGAGGCGGAGGGCCAAGGTCTGCTGGTCAGGGTGGAAATGACTGTTCGCGAGGTCTGCCAGAAGTTCAAGCGCCGCAGCATCCTGGCAGCAGGGAACTGTAACGTCAGAGTGAAGTTTGGTCATAGTGACAGCTCAAGGGGAGGGAGCAGCGACTACGGCCCCGATGGAGATGACATGGAGAACAGAGGCAGGCTCTCCCCATCCCAGGACAGGACCAGCCCTGACACTCACTATTATGGCAGCTCCATCTCTGACATGGAGGATGGGACGCTGAAGAGAGCCACCACCACTAGAAGCGCAATAATGCGCAGACCCAATGGAGATAAACTTTCAGACGATGGTAGGCAGAACATGCCTATTGACTTTGCTGACTTCCCTGCGCAAGTGGACCTTCCCCGCGGCCGCAATATGGACGATGACCTCATTCAGACTGCTCGTGGGCTCACAGACCTGGAGATCGGCATGTACGCCCTGCTGGGGGTCTTCTGTCTTGCCATCCTGGTCTTTCTCATCAACTGCATTTCATATACCCTGAAATACCGCCACAAGGAGCTGTCGATTGAGGGCCAGGAGAACATGAACCATGCCCACGATTGGGTGTGGTTGGGGAATGAGGCCGAGCTGCTGGAGAGCCAGATCAGCCTGTCGCCCCAGCAAGAGGAACAGACCTCCATGATGGACTCGAGCGGCGGGCTCGAGGAGGGCAGCCACTTGCTGAACGGAAGCTCGGCCCAGAAGAACGTGCAGGGCCAAGTGCACCGGGCGGCGGACACTGGGTGCATAACCAAGGACAGCAAAGGAGACTCACCCACCACCAAGAGGAAGCGAGTCAAGTTCACCACGTTCACCACCATCCCCTCGGACAGTAGCTACCCCACTGTTAACACACTGACTGGAAGCCACAGCCAGGACATTAAGTGGGTTTGCCAAGATGTGGAGCTGGGAGACTCCAAGGAGTTGCGCAATTACATGGAAAGGTTAAATGACAGCGCTTTAAAAGAGGTGGCATAATGTACTGTGTGCCCTTGTAACAAACTCACCCTTATGCCTTTCAGAGGAAAGTGGGTCTGGACAGAAACCGGACCCGGAAATTGACTTCAGAATCATCCCCAAACTGCCAAAGGGTCATTTAATTAAAGAGGATTGTCATGATTCCACAAGTGACTGATAATCACTAATGAAGAAAAATGACAATGAATTATGACATCAGGTGGTTCTTTTTCATTTGTTTGTCGGATGATTACCTTTTTATCATCATTTTATTACTACAGGGTTTAGATAGAAGGATCCCAGGACTATGTAATATTCATTAAACATGTAGATTTTAAAACAAACAGTAACATGACTAGATAGATGTTATGAATGTGAGTGCACATTAAATGGTTTTGGAAGTTTTGTAACATTTGGATATTAATTTCTTACACCAGATCCTTATTCTATGGAAGAGTTCTGGAAGGGCCAAAGCAAGCAACCAGGAATGTCTGCATGTCGATGGTAAAAAAAAAAAAAAAAAAAGATAACTTTCTGGTTCATGATCATCCTCCTTAACACGGCAGAAAACCTGATATATATATATATATATATATATATATACCGAACAGTCTCCACAGCATTGTATTGTTGCTCTGTATATTGTATTTTTCAAAACATTTAAGAAATACACAACAATGTCAAGAGCGTGTATCAGCTTTTATTGACCGCAGCATCGTTAGGCCTTTCAATTCTCAGCCCTAAGGTCATCTGAGGAATGTGGTTGAGGAAGGGGAGCCAATTACACATTCATCTTTGTATGAAGAGTATTTCATGAGATGCAATTTACCCACAAGCCACAACACAATCTGCTCCTCTTTAATGCTGGTTGGTGGAGGAACGCAGCACCCATTAATACTCTCATTTCGTCTATTAGATGTCAGTACCCTAACATGACAGCCAGTGTATGAAGGAGCTTTTATACTAAATGGCTGGACATCAGTGTAATTTGACATTTTCAACTGCAACCCCCCAGTTTAAAGTGAAGTGTGCTTTGAAGAAAATGCCAATTAAGGTCTCGTTAACCTCAGTGCCATAGCCTCCAGGAAAAGCATACTGACGTACATACCGGGATAAAATGTGCTCTCCATCTCTCGGGCAGAGTGGAGATACAAAGAGGGATGATTACAGGCAAGGTGGGAAACGTTTCCTTTTTGGAAATGGATCTTTAAGTATTCAGATAATTGCTCAAATAATAATCGTCTCTGAAAATGTCCTAAACAAAGGCAGTCGGCTGAAAAATTGCATTTTGCTCAGTGAACGTTATTATCATCACAGTGGTGTTGGGTGATTGCATTTTTTTTTGTGTTATTATTTTCCATCAAGCAGAGAAATGTTCACATTATGTTAACTGTTGCTGCGGTGTGGATCAGATTGTTAATCAGCAACGCTCACAATATTAGCTTGGAAGAAGGGAGGTGAGATAGTCAAGCAAATGGTAGCACCACCTTGAGTGTAATTATGGGATGCCATTTAGATTAGGTGAGTCATGTCAGCACTGAATGGAGCACCTCCAGATGCCCGAGTAAGAAGTTCAGTGGCTTTTCTACTTTTATTTAATTCGTTCAAGCAGCTTGTCGACGGATTCTCTTTTTTACTTCTGTGGTGCTGCTATTGATTCACTGCATGCTGTGCCACTGAATTAACACAACATCATCAAATATATAGATTTAAAAATATAGATAACTAGCCATGATAGGTAGTGACATAACTGAAGGAGCAGTTTTGGGAAGTGTGTTTATTTGCTGTTTGCTTTCGTAGAATACCATCCTCTTTTATTTGCATTGAATATGGAGCGACAACCAGCAGGCAGTTAGCTTAGCTTAGCATAAAGACTGGAAACAAGGGGAAACAGCTAGCCTGGCTCTGTCCGAAGGGAAACAAATCTGCCTGCCACACCTCTTAAGCTCACTAATTCATACTTTATAATATGTATTCAAACTGTATAAAAACTGAAGAGTGAAAACATTTTACATAACCTGTAAAACTTATGTGCCAGACTACCTCTTAGATGGCACAGTTACTGCCTGGAAGATTTAAGCATGTTAATTACTGATCTTTAGAGGTGGTGATGGACAGATTCCTTACCTTTACACAGAGCCAGGCCAGCTGTTCCTTCCTGTTTACAGTCAAACTTATATTTTCTGATGTTACAGTATTTTAAACTGAGTCTAGTAGAAGTGAAACATATTATGACCTCAGCTGAATTCACAATTACTCAGGTTAACGGCAGCTAATGACAATATAGTGTGTACGTACACACACACACACACAGACACAGAGGAAAAACTCTCCATGATCACTCTTTTGTCTCCATTTCTGCTGTCCTGAATTGATTTTGTTTTTTTTCCTGCAATGCGACTGGCTGTCTCCTGTGTGATTGTCCTGCTTCTGTGGCTCTATCAGTGACTGCAGGGGATTGAAGCAAGTCCATGTGCAGCGTGTTCTGTGTGCTGGGGCCGTGGCTGCTGTGCTCAGCCTGTGGACTGTGAAGGGCGAGGAGAGAGGAGAGCCAGTGCAGGTCTGGGAGGGATATAACTGTCAGCCACAAGGGGCATGATTGATGAAAGGCCCTGTGTAATTAAAACACCACTGCGACTCTCTTTCCGTGACTGTCGTCGGTGGATTCAGCGTCTTTAGGTAGGAGAAGAACAGAGCAGCCCATTAAAGACCCACCGCCTCCAAACCCTTGGGCTTTGGCTTTAGACATGTTCACACCTGCTGAGATGCTGCACAGGAGCTATAAAGATTGTATTCACCTCCATTCTTAGAGCATGGCAACTCAAGACTCATTTGCGTTGGCCTTGATGTCTTGACTTCCCTGAAAGGAAAAGAAAAACCCTTCCCCAGGCCTCCATCTTAAATGGATTTTTAATTAAATTGATGATGTGAGACCAACAAACTCACTAATGGTTGGCAGTGCTCCCTGTGGTCCTAATGTGCCGGGTCTGTATTTGCAATTTCCAAATGATTATTCGCTGCTTGATTTATGTTGCTTCCTGTGAATTCTTTAAAAAATAAAAATCTGTTCACAGTAGATTCACAGCAACTAAACACGCACAAACAAGCAGTCACATAGGAATGACAAGGTCAGCTTGACATTCCAGTCTGACCAATTTTTACAGATGGAGCCGCAGGGAACCAAAGACAACAGCGTTCATATACAACACCCTTGTGCCCAATCTGTGTCTTGTAAACATCATCTCCCACCTGACCAGTGCAACAGAGTGGGAAGACAAACACCAGAGAACACACACACACGTTCACAAACGCAGAGTAACTTGTCTCACTAACCTTGTAAAAGCTCTTTATTGACTACATTGAGCCTCAACCTAATCATAACTTTACAGGATCAGGCTGATATTATTCGGTAGTTTTCTTATTGTCAACAAATGACACAAAAACCTACCATGTAGTAGTCCATTGTCCGTTGTCAGTGGCAGCTGAAGATGTAATTAACACAATTTATGAAAAACAATTTCATAAACTTTAGCAAATGTTGCTCAAACAGGAGTTAATATAGCAGCTGTTGGAGACTATTTTTAGCTGTGGACTAATGCATATTTGGTGCTCCTGACAACAGCAATACAGTGTTAAACCACAGTGCCTATGTTCATCTTAATGAACTTAATGTTTTTTTTATAGTTTTTGAACAACAATGGAAGTCTATGGCAGAGAGGAATAAGCCCTGTCAGACTTTGTTGGTTTTGATGGTTTCCGATTTGTTGAGAGTCAGAAAAACATAGAATACCACCAGCCATATCTCACTTAACCCTAAGTCCAAATTCCCCTAATAAACTGTGGAGACCAGCCAGTTGGTGCCCAGAATGGAGGTGCATCCCCACAACACCAATCAGCTTCTGACTCTTACAATGTGATGTAAATACAAACCCACACACAACAGTATAAACATATGCACCACAAAAAGTATGAGCCATGACTCAAACTCGCAACAAAAAGGCAATAAACAACTACAGCAGCAAGCAAAGCCCTTTAGCAGCATGAGGCGAGTATCCAACCGTGTCATTTAGATACATATCAGCACAGGAGGAGCGGAGCACCGAGCACAGGGGAGCGACATATCAGCCAGCGCCCTGAGACAGGTCGGGGCATTTTTCTATCTGCCGGAAAACAATAGAAGGTCAGAGGGCAACCAAGATACGGCAAGCTCAAATGATGTTCCTCAGTGTGGCTAAGAAAAATGCATCTTGATACCTGTATTGTTTTATGGGAGTCAAGCCCCATTCTGTACAAATAAGAAGCTCTAAACCACAGGACCTGCACACAATAACCAAGGTTGATGCGGTAAATCCAGAAGGATGTACGCTGTTAAACTCATTTTACGGTTGCTTATTTCACAGATCATCCGTCTGAATGAACATCCTTCACCTGCCGATGTGCTCGGTCCCACAGAAAACAGTATTTCAAATGACAAGACTGACACACTTTCTGAAACATGAGATTGTGAGAAGCTCTACATATGTTTGTTTTTTTTCCCATTGCTCATATTATCAGTACAAGTGGGAATAGCGTGTTAGAAACAGATGAGCCCCGAGTTAATCAACTTGTCTCGTGCCCAACACTGTCTCATTTGGAAAAGGCTGCAGGATGCCGCCCAACAAAGACAGCCCAGATAAGATAATTAGGTCTGTGTAAATGCGGATGATTAGTACTTAGAGATCGGCGATTTGTCTGCTTGGCCGTTCTCTTAAACATTGTGTCTGCATTAGCTTATCTTAATTAACATGTGATGATACTTCCTAATCCTCCACTTACTGGAGGAACATCTTCTGGAGCATCTGCCGGTTGCTCATTACACAGGTAAGACTCAGTAATACAATTTAAATCAGCTTAGTATTTTGTAGATTATGCTATGCTGCCACATGCCCTCAAAAAAGTCATTGGCAAAAGAATATCAAAGGCACGGAGATACACACACCAACTTCCTTCTTTCTTAATTCTTAAAATTATTCTACTTAACATGTCAATTAAATTTTTTATACATCACAAATCACGCATGGTGATACACATCAACCTAGAACTAAAGATACCTGGAGATTAAAGACACTGACTGAAACATAATTTCACCTTTACTGCCTTGATTTTTTGTCTTTCCGTAGATATGCATGCCATCTTAGTTTAGCAACTCCAATCGTTTGATTAGCACAAAAAAAGGTGCAGCTGAGGCTGATGGTAATGTCATTATTTATCTATTCAGTAACTGTTGAGACATTTCACTCAAAGCACAAATGTCGACCTCTTGGTGGCACTAAAGGAAAAGTCAGGGAGTCACCTAAATCACCAGGATGCATCCTCTGGGGACTGAATGTCTGTCCAAAATGTTCTGAAGTCCCAATCCATCCAACAGATATAGAGATATTTCACGGGTTAAGTTAAAATTTTAACCTGCTGGTGACGCTATAGGAAACGTCAAAGTCATTAGAATTAAACCTCTGAGGATCATGAATGTCTGTACAAAACAATCCATCCTACAGTTGTTGAGATATTTCAGACTGAACCAATGTGGTGGGCCGACAGGCCGACATTGCCAACTCAAACCCTAACTCATGATACTACAATGGTTAAATAAATATACTATCAAATTTAGAACTCTATAAACTCCAGAGGCAACGCATTACCTTGGTTCCTGGAACATGCCAAAAACATGAACACTAAAAAGAAAAAAAACAAACCAGTAGCAGGTATTATGGTATATGCTGGTGTGCTCTCTCCAAGGCACAGTTTGCTTAAATCCTGGCCAATAAATCAACTTAAAATATTTTGAGGTCAGCTCCAAAACTATATATCTCAATGTTATTGCCTTGCAATTCTGGCTCCGTAACCACTTCGACGTGTCAGAAATTCCTCTCAACATGAGAAACAAGCCGCCACACTGGAATTATGACCCAGAGGCATTGTGTTGGTTTCCAACATTAAGCTGTCTGCTCAGTCATGGCGATGTGGGCTCTCCGACCAAATTAAACAGGAAATAGCCCTCTCCGAGCCTCGTGGCTGTGAGGGCTTAGCATTAAAAAAAATGATCTATGACGTCGTCTTGATTTCAATCTGTGTCTGATGAAACTGAGAAGAAATATACTGCCTTTCCCAATGGGAATGCAAAATGAGGCTTTCAACCTCTGTGTTTGCAACCTTTTCCCTAACAGCCGGCCACAGGGTGTGTTTTTTGAAATATAAATCACTGTCGACTTTGGGTTTCCCTTCGGAGCAACAAACCATAGCGCAAATCACGAAAGCATCCTGGCAGGTTTTCAAAGGCAAAATTCGTGATTCTCATTGAAACAACAGGGTCACTCTGCCGCCTGAAATTAAAACATGTTATGCTATCAATGTTCTCTGGAGCGTAAAACATTTGTTCTAGGTATAAACGTTTAGAATAGAACGTTTAAGATACACATTTCCCTTTTATATGAACTCCTGAACGCACAACCTGCAACTTTAAAGGCAGTGAAAAAATAAGTGAAAGCAGGTAAAGTGATGTGACAAGATATCTGAACTAGCTTAGCAAGTTGTGCTTAATTTAGACAACAGCTGAAAATGACAAACCCAACACTCAATTTAATTCACTTTAATAATGACAACAAACGTATAACCACAAAAACAATATCCCAGTTCTGTAGCATCATGAAAACAGAATATAATTACAAAATAAACATAATAAATCTTTCTGAAGAGGACTGCAATGATAAAGAAAGCATGTATGGGATATGCAATAAAACAAGGAAAATCAATTCATCCGACCAATTAAACACAAGAAATAGCTTCTTGTTTTTTATGTGCCGTTATTCCTTGAGCCCTGAGAGTTTTCTTGTTTTAATAAAATTCAGTACCTTGTGCTATACCTGCTCTGAGAATTATAGTAAGACACACAGCCATTTCTCTTAACAGTATAAAGCTAAAACAAATGCATCACAGTCTAATAAATACAATAAAGAAGCTTCTTTTTCAAGAATTCCGGGCAAAGCTGCAAAGCCACGATAACACTGTAAAACGTCCCCGACAACAAATACTGTTAAAGTTGTGCTTTATTCCTCTACGGAATTATAACTATAAAGAAGATGTCACTGTGAATGGGTTATGTTTTTATATCTTAAGTCTGCACTTTTTTTTATATCATGATCGAAGCATTAACGCAGGGGATATTTTAAGAGCTACACTCAAGGTTGCCAGTTAAGCTTAAGGTTAGTTTCTAATTGTCATGCAGTTTTGCAGCTTGACCAGAAATGAAAAACTGCCGTGAAGCTTCATCGAGTCATGGAGTATTTGTAACGAGGGGTTATTAGTATTCATGTATGGGTCTGTTTGAGGATTTATAGGACGTAATCTCAGGCAGTGGTAACAAATGTGGCAGATTTTTTTCTCTTAATATTAGATTTGAATAATAGTTTCTTTGGAATCTCCTCAAACAAGAGCCCTATTGTCATTAAAAGCAGTGATTTCTGGGATTCTGCAACAACATAAAATTACCCCCGGAGTTAAAACACATTTCCCATTCAATCACCACTGTGACTGCATAGGCATTTCAAGCTCTCTAAAAGCCCAGCAGGGTAATTGTAATCAATAAATATTGCTGAATATGTACATTTAATGCACAAATCAGTGGATGGAAGTCCAGAAATCATTTGAATACTGATGTTTCACAGCAAAAGAGTATTGTCCAAAAATAAAACTGTCAGAGCGCAAACAGTAAAAACGCTACTATAAAAACAACCAATTTTTAATGGCACCACTCCTCAAGTCAAGTGCAAATGATCAAAGAACGGCAACGAGAGTAAACACACAGAGTACAGTAGAAACGATTCAAACATCTCTATACTTTCAGTGGTACCTGTGCATTCATCCAGTGATGTAAAACCATTATTATTATTTAAAAAAAAACAAAAAAAAAAAAACAGGATGAAGACCCACCACTTAAAAGCTCAAATAAACAAATACAAAATACACAGTCTTGACTGGCTAATTTGTAAATGAAAGCGGTAAACCAAACTTTTGTAGGATTTGATTCGTAAGTACCTATTCAACAGGGTCTTTGGGCGCTGAGTGATACGACTGAAAAAGGCAGGTATGGTGAGGGGGATATGGAGACATGAGAGTAGGTCAAGAGGAGAGGAGTCGCTGCCTTTGGCTTCCCGCTTTTCCCTTCTGCTTGTCATACTTGAAAGAGATAATAAGAAAGACGAGCAAGGTGACGCCCTGGATCCCTGCCAGGAGGAAGAAGTAGTAGTGCAGAGAGCAGTCATTGATATTACCTGGAAAGAGAGAAAACAAGGACATTATTATTATTATTATTATTATTATTATTATTATTATTATTATTATTATAATAATAATGAGATATTTTACACCTGAGCTGAGACTCCAAACAGCTGAGAAGCAAGACTGGCATTCAGATGACGCTTAAAAACTGTGAGCTGCACGGCAAAAAAAAAAAAAAAGACAAATATGGAAATTTGGAGAACAAAAGAGTCAGTCACGACATATTCAGAGGGCGACAGCAGGAGGGTTCTTTTATCACAAAGTACTGCGACGTGTTAAGAGAATACCAAAGGCAAAGGTAAACGGCCACAAGCTCGCAAGTGTGGCAGGTTGTGCTTTTTTTTTTTTTTTTGTTAGATATAAAAGGCAGACTTGAAGTGAGCATGGCAGGGAAACGCGACGCTGTCAGGATTTAGGATTCAGCGGAGGGGCTTGTTACGTCTCATCTCAGCCACGGCGAAACCTTCTGAAAGTGGAGACGGTTGACCCCGCTCATCGACAGAAAGGCGGCGTTGATGATGAGGGACTGAAGTGTCGCAAATAACTCACAGCTGTGATTCGAACCAGGGAGTCTTTCATCCATATTAAAAGGACGGTTTGTTTCCTCGTGGGAATGGGATGCAATAAAAAAAGATAGGAAAACAGAAACTGATGCTTCCAGTGTGATCTGCTGTATGACTTCTGCACAGGAGGGGGAACAAAAAGTCTGTGATAAGACTGACAGAACTAAGGGCACACAGGTTCAAGACACCCATTATTTTTTCCTACTGGGTTTGGAGACTTCAACCAGCAGCCGGTGAACTCTAACCAGCTCTAGTGTTGATTGAAGTGGTCACAAAGCTCAAGAGGGGAGCTCTAAACAAATCCTGTTATCGCCTTGCTAGGGCTTTACATGAAGGGCAAAATAATAACAAATGTCTCCACTGTTCAAGTGTGGAGACAATTGGATTGGCATGAGAGCCGCTTCTGGTCCTCTTGACCATGTCAGGCAGACCACTTGACTTTGCAGCCAACAGCATGCGATGAAGCCGGTTACCACTTTTTCTTGACGAGGAGACATTTTGTTGAAGGTTGCCTTGTACAAACTTCTGCAGCACATTGACGAACCATGCCTTGGGTTTAACAGGCTCCATGTAAGGCACGGTTTCAGCAGAGACACCTATAAGCTTACATACTACATTATCGTCAAATGAGTAAATGTGAAGCCCCGGCGCAATCTGCCGTCTTCCTCAGAAAGCTCCCAATTAGCTTCTCCACATGGAGCTGTCACGCCGAATAAAGAGCCGGCGAAAGAGAAGAAGCGTTGATTTTAATTACGTATATATAGGGGCGATCGACATTTCAAGTTCTTCCTATTCACACAGCAGGGAATGTGTGGGAGTGTGTTAGAGTACAGCCTAATTACACATGTCAATTTAAGGTTAACAGCCACCTGGGTCAAGATGGCGCTTATGGACTTACAGGATTTCCCATCTTACTTTTTTTTAGCTATTTTCACAAAATCCTTTTAAAATGCGTCTAATGTGATGCAGGTATACTAGCACAGCAGACACTAGATATTATACAAAAGTTTGTTTGCTGTCACCAACACATTTTAAGGCTTTACTTTATAAGAGAAGGTGGAAAAGTTGAGGTCATCACCCAATAAAACCTCGAGCAGCTTAATCTGTTACAAACTAAACAAACCTTTGCAGAAAGAAGAGCAAAACGTTCGGTCTTTGGGGCACAAACTGTGTGGGCGTCTCCGAGCACACCTGCTATTTTGGTTCATGTATTTGCAGCAGAGTAACGTGCAAAAGAGCTGGCTGAAGTCGTATAGATCAGAGGGCGTGGTGAACAGTAAACGCACTCTCAGCCAGTCACAGCACTGGTCTTATCGCTCAGACACAGCTGTTCCAATCACAGTGAAGCATGACAACAGCTCAACAAATGGAAAGATGCTTCTCCAGGAAATCGTGCAGAGCGGCACGACGTGAACACACAGGACCAAAAGTCAGTAGCATATGGTTGTGGATTTGAAATAATGAAAATTAAAAAATTTGAAGTACAATGGCGTTCGAAATTAACAATTAAAAAGCTTATATTGTCATCATATAAGATGGTGAAGCATCATATCAATCCTGCTATTTCAGTCACTGTATTTCAGGTTGTAAATGGTTACCTTGTATCGTAACATATGACAGGAGCATTTGCTTAGTAATGAATATAAAAAGGTTTATATAAAAAGGTTGACAGGAGGCTATTATGCCCAGAATTAACGAGCTCTGGTAATCCAATTTCTCCCACATAACATCCTGCACGATGTGTGTAGAGGTGTACGGGATTATTTTTGCAGCAGCCTGGTGTCATTAGGCGGTAAACACGGCGGACGGCAGCGCATAAAGACACTTCTCCAGTAGGAGGCTGCAGATTTATCAGCTCGACTGTCCTCCTGCATCAAAATACTCACACTTTGCATTCCACTGCCTCATGGGAATGAACCTCCCACCTGTTTGGGCCTCTCTTCCCACCTGAGTAGCATGCACTGGACACCATAATATCAACTAGAGGTTAATTAAAAAGGTCAAAGCGCTGCTTGTGCTCGTCGTTGCGCCGTCACAAAATGAGTCTCCAGCCAGTCGAGCTGTTAATTCTGATGTTTAACAAGTATAATGTTCACCAGCTTTAGTTAGCGCGTTAGCATGGGAACATTTTAGAAATAATTTTCTGCATTAAACTAGACTGTTGAATGTCAAAGGCTGTGATTAAATCATGCCAGTGTTTCACAACAGAGGCCTGTAGAACATCCACCTTACTGCTGTCGAGGCAGCCGTGTCACAACGTATCCCCAACGAACACAGAGACCTTCATGTTCTTCATGATGCGACAGGGCGTCTGATCAAAGAGCAGGACTAACTCATCTGAAGCATGTTTTCCCTGTGCTTTGCATGATCACTCGAGCGGATCACTCTCTTTAACGTCACCAAGTGTATCGTGCATATAAATAATTCTCTCTCTGTGTTGTGTGCACGGTCTAGTGGATAATTAGAAATCGAGCGGGATAAAATAACACCGTCGTCTTCGTCAACACCGCGGTGCCGCATTGGGCCGTCTCCATAGCTTGAAACCTTTGATCTAGGAACAGAGAGCTGGCTGATGACTGAACTTCTGAGCAGCAGATGGAAAACACGACACTTTAACTCCCAGTGACAGTTTTAAGTTATTTTGTTGTCATCTTAAATTTGGTCGAAATTTGAAATTGTTAAAAAAAAAAAAAGATAAGACCAAGAACAGTGTTTGAATAATTCATGCAGTGCAACGTATATGACAGGAGAGCATGGGAGGAAACGGGAAGTGCATTAGCAGAGAGCGCGCTTGCATTTTCAATCGATAATTTCCCTTAACAGATAAACCAAGAGTGTGCCACCGCAGTCTTAATTAACAGAGCGGTACGGCTTACAAAGAGCTGGGAATATAGCGTACAAATGATGTCGGGGGAACATCCAGAGCGTTTAGTAAAATATGATCGGTTTAAAGTAGAATATGAAAAAAAAGTGCAGCATTTACAGCAACATATTCAACACTCCCTGAGTTTGCCCTTAAGCAGGCACTGAATGTCAGCATGACAAATGTACCAAATCCAGATTTTAGGACATTTTTACTCATGTTAAGAAAATGTTACCGCAGCGTTATGCTGACCGGTGAGTGGATCTCAACCTTTGTTCCAGATTTTGAAACGTCTCTCCTAACTAGGACCCAAGGACTGCAAAAGAACTGGCCCAAAAAAAAAAAAAAGCAAGATCTAATGTTTTTGGGAACAGCATGAAAAACTGTGCAAGGTTTCAGTTGTGTAACGGTTCTTGATCAAATTTCATTATACATTAAGTTGGGCTCGACCTCCTTTTTCAGCCCCCCCCAGGCCCAACCACTTTCACAAATATGGAGGGCTGATTACAGCAAGGAGCTGCTATAAAACACATTAATGAATCTCATAAATATTTGACAGTTATTTTAAAGGGGAGGGAATAGTGGAGGCCAATCAGAGTGGATCATTTTGGTCGTTACACCATTCTTTAAGACTTCCACATATGGACCTGTTTTACAGCTCTTGACTTAGTGAAGGACAATATTGTGATTAGACTGAATGCACCAACAGAAGGGGTGTATACACCATATATGTATGTATGTATACACACCATCTAATATCTGAGAGATATAAACTTGTGGGACAATTTACCTGCGAGTGGGTTTGAGCAGACCATGCGAGTCCAGATGAAACGGGTCAATATCAATTCAACGTTTGAAAATAGATGAATTGATCCAGACCTTCAGTGCAGTGACCCAACGTTTGAATGCTTCAATGCATTCAATACCATCCTCAGAATGAAATCAGAGAGGGAATCAATGAATGTTTGTTTCAGCTATAAATATTTATATAAATATATAGTTTCTGCAGTTCCCCTCTTGCTCATGAAACTTTGTGATTGATGCTGGCATTTTATAAATGACTACAACATGCTTACTATTTGTATTTGCCTCTGACATGTCTAATACATGCGCCACAAAATACATGGAATTTCAGACAGAGTAAGAGTTCTTGTTAAATTTGCCAGATTTGACATTAAAGGTTTCCATTAAAACGTTGACATTTCACTGAATGTGATCCAACACTTCATGAGCAGGATGTGCGAATGTCAGCTCTCTCTGAACGTCTGAACACGTCCCAGACACTGGTCAAAGAAATAGGCCGTTTCCTGTCATGTGACCATAGGGGCTCACAAATAAAACATTCACTTTGAGTGAATGACACTCCCACAAAGGCAGAAAATTATGCAACAATAGACATTTTCTAGGATCAAAAAGCTCCTCATGTGTAAAAGATAATGAGGGTGAAGAAAGTAAAAGGTTGATATTTGATTGACTCATGAGGTTAAAACGGATCCATGCAGGAAAGGATGAGATGGTGTTATTATATACTGGTGCGATAGATGACGACTCAACCAGATGTAACCATAGTGAGGAAACGATGTGCTGTGGGATTTGAAGGATCAATAATTCCAACACTACGTTTTAAGTTGAAGAGCAGATGTGGCTGAAATACTGAATAACCATTTTCACCGCTGCTTTGCAGACTGATGTCAGTCACACATGAGGTCTTTCACTCACACGTGCCAAATGGGAAAATCATTCGCTTTCGAGACTCAAAACTCCAAGAACAAGAGGTAACGATCTCGCTTTATGAGTTTGTGAAAGACATAGAATACATACGTATGTGTATACCTGACACAATAATGATACATGTGCAACAAAGGTTGCTGCATTTGGAACTTGAATTCTCTGTTGATGAATGCCTGTAATAGAGCTGCAACTAAACATTCTCATTATGAACCAATGTATAAACCTTGCTAGTGCATGGGGCAGTACCTGTAAGATTAACTGCCAACATTTTGCTAAATATTTCAAATAAAAAATTCCTTTGGGTCAATCGCCTGCTTTTACAGTATCTCAATGTTTATATTTTTATATTTGGGGTCAGATCAGTCTCAATATCAAAGAATGCACAAAAGGATTCACAAATGTATTTTGTGATTTATATATAAATGACCCTCTCCGCAAAAATATATTTCAATCTACGCCAAAAGTTATTAAATATAAACTATTTTTTTTAGTCCATTGAAAAATATAATCGTGGACAGAGTCATTTAAATATAAATCTTTGTGTGTGCATTTATCAATATTGAGACTGAACTGACCCGTTAATTATGTACAAATTATAGACACAGAATGGTTGAGCCAAACGAATCTGCATGGGACATTTTCCTTCTTATTAGCATCGCCAACGTCACCATTCATAGTCACAAAAAGTGAACAACCACACTATTCACAAAAAGAAACATGCACATGTACCAAGAATGTGAGACTTGTTCTTTAACATTTCCAAACCAGCTGGTAAAACCTTAACAAAGGGCAGACTAGCTGTGACACTTACTGATGCTGACTAACATTAGTGCAAAGCAGGGAGAGAAGGTGCAACAGCACTACAGGAGAGCGGAGCAATCCACCAGCGTGATGCCAGCAGTGCCATCTCCATGTAACTGCTCCAGGGACAGCTTTACTTATCCAGGGCTATGTAATCAGACCCCCAGCCTGTGATTAATGTTACTCATCTGTCTTCAGGCCCGTACAGCTCACCCAAAATGCTGTTTACTGCACACTATTCTGCCTGCAGCCATGGAAATAAGTTGAATCCATTCCACCTAGAGAGCCGTGAGATGTGGAAGAAGCGAACATGCAACAAAGTGTAAAAAATAAAACAGCCACAAAAACAAACTGCATGATCCCAGACTGTATTTAATACCTCGGCTTTGTGCTGCGTGTTATTTATCAGTGGCCAGAAGGATGTTTTGTTCCATTTCTGCAGCTCACCTTTTAAATGACTTGTTTTGGAAAGCAAAAAGAAGTCTTACAGGCAATCTGGCTCTAGTTTAACTGGCCCGCAAGTGAAGCAAGGCTGAGCAAAGGATGGATTTATGAAGCGTGCCGAGCATCTTCCAGTGCTAACATCATCAAAAAGACCCCCCTACCTGTCGGCGCACTGTATTAATGAGCTATTAGGTGTTTGTGGGTAAACAATTTACAGTGTTGGCTTATTTATTGCATGCTCAGAGAAAAGTGCATCTGGGTTGGGAGCCTCCTCTCGGTAGGGAGCCCATCCATCTGCTGCCACCACCGCACTATTTATTCTACCACTTGGATAGATTTACACAAACCTTTTGTCGTTAGTCTGACATGTCTATTTATTATGGGAAACAGTCTTAAAACAGGAGTGCACAGGGCGCTGCCCCCCCCCTCTCTCTCTGCATTTAATTTACAAACTCTTTAAGTGGATTTTAAATCAGCACAAGCTATGAGCATTCGGTACATCCCTGAAAAAAATAAAATAAAAAAATGCTGTGTTCTGAAATCAATACCCAACAATTCTATTATTAGTCCATACATACAGTCGGTGTGCAAAGTCAATAGTGCACTCCACATGCACTGAGCATCCAACAGCAGGATTTACAACTGTAATGCTCAATTCAGGCGGATTATGGGCAGCCCGAAGACAACTGTGCGAGTCGAGATCAATCACCTTGACGACATTTTGAAGAGAGAAGCATCTTTCTTTCAATTTAATCCCAGACAAAGTCATGTTCCCTGTGAGACTGCATGCATGTCAAAGGGCAGCGGGGTCGATCTTCAAACAATTAGGTCAATTGATTTTTTTCTGTGCAATGTCAGGATTATTATATATCAAGCTTTATATATTCTATACCTCTTAGATCAAATAAAAAAAACATGCTAAGCTTTAAACCTGCAATGAGTGATTGTTTTGCCAGCAGTAACTAACTGTAAACACAACACTGATTTACACATCTAGCAGTTAAGAAGAAGCAACATTATTATTGAGCTGTGAGCTGTGTTTCTGACCACCTGGTGGTTGCAAGGTTAATATTCACTCTCCTCTTTGCTCCTGAGGGAAATATCTGGCTATGTTCACCAGCTAGTCGCCAACTTTGTCCATTTGGTGCTGAGCTGGCAGTGTCGAGCGGGTTTTTAGAGCGTTGAAAACTGATGCCTGCTGAGGCTGAAAATGATCCTATGAGAGCACTGACACTGAACCAAGAAAAAGTAAAGCTGCAGGCTAGAAAACAAAACAATGAGCTGAAAGAAGCCTTAAAGCTCCTCCCAACATTCAGGAAAGTTAAGTGATAGTTCTCTGTGGGTGCAGCACCAAGACTGACCCCTTTCACATTACATATGTTCAATTGATCTGTTGTTATTATTAAAAAAAAATCTGTTAAGTTTTCTGCCTCTTGTGTGTGATTTGCAATGACCGCCACACATGTAATGAGCGTATAAGCTACAGTATTCTCTTACCGAAGTCTTTGTGGGATGACATCCAGCCAATCGCCTTGATGGAGACAATAGCCAACAAACCAGAGCCCACGAAGGAGCCAACCCCAGAGAAGAAAAAGAAGAGCCCCATGATGGCACTCTGCATGGACTTGGGGGCTGCAGAGTATGCAAACTCCAGACCTGCAAAAAATATTATTATTATTATTATTATTATTATTATATGCCATGTCCTGTAGCAACATGCTACAGCCAGTGACGGAGTAATTTAGCCTGTAATTTCATGCTACTTAGTCATACGCTATGCCGGCTGTAGTAACAAAGTAACACTATGTACTGAGGTATAATATCTGTCTTCATGCATCTATGTAATATGACGGGGTTTGTTGACACTGACTGTTTGTATACAAGACCAAAAGGCTTCGTTGGCAGCTGCTTGGCAGCATCTTTTCAATGGGGGCACTGGTTTGTGGTGCCATTGTTTGTTATCTTCTCTGCTTGGTACTGGAAATTATTTTATTTCCGGAAAAACACATCACTCAATATTTACTGTGTCATGAAAAAAGAGAAAAAGGACTGAGAAAATGGGCAAGGAACCTAAGAGAAAGAAAGACACAAAAAAAACATCAAGTGTGTCTTTTTTGCCTCGAGATCTGTCTGCCTGAGAGCTGACATTGATAATTTCATGGCGCCTCAAACATGTGATTTTTCAAATGAGGGCCTATAGCTACATCTGTCAGTAGAGATTAGGGAGCTGCGGTTAAATACATTTGCCTTTTAAGACATTCCTTGGAGGGGGACATTGCACGAATTAATGCGACGAGCAGTTTCCGTACAGATACCTGCGCTAGTCGCACAAAGGAACGCTTCAGAAGAAAAAGAATGAGATAAGAGCATGGCAAACATATCGCTATTACTCAGTGGAGAGCATGAATGACCTTTCCAGAAGTTCACAATGATACATTTGTTTATGTCCTAAGCTAACCTTTTGATAGCAAAACAACACTGGTCAATAGCTATGCATATCACAGGGGACTAAAAAGGTTGGTGAGGGTTCTAGATACAGCTTTGCACAGTAACGGGGACCGTACAGACCAATAGTGTGACGAGAACTGGATTCCACATAATGTTAAGTTTGTGACAACAATAATTCAAGAAACAATCAAAATGAGCTCGACCTTTCTCGACCAAAGGGCAGAATTATTCAAGAAAAAAAAAGGAAGGCCTGGAATTTAAAAACGCATAAATATTTTTTCCTCCAAAGGCCATCGGTGATTCATCGGGGGGGGATTTTTCCTTCTTATAAAAAATAGCATTAGCCTCTAAGATTTTTAGAAGTGCAATACATAATTAAAATACTAAAAGGAATAAGTTTTGCAAAAGTTTTTGCATATTCTTATTGCCTGAAAGCAGACAAACTTGGGTGGTGTACAAGCAAAGAATTACCAATCGTCCTACTAGAATGGGGATTGCAGCGAGGACGTTTGAAAACAGATTTATTCAAACAGAAGAATACTAAGGGGAAATACTTCTAACCAGACATATGTCACAATTCTGTCAGCCAATTTTCCTTTAGGTAAGCCCTGAGGGATAGTATGGAGGGAGAGAGGAGAGTAAGTCTATTTCAAGGATCCCCATAGCTTTGTTATGTCTGGGTTTCACTTTCATGGAGACGCTGATACTTTTGTGTTTTAAAGAAGCCTTACGGAGCGAATGTGTATGTTCATTCGTACAAACACCCTGCATTGCCTGGATCGGCTTGATAATCCATCCACTGTGATGAAGAAAAAAAAAAAAGTCTTGAATATTAATGGTTCAATCTTCACTCTTGATATAGAAATAAAGCGAGTACTATATAGAAGAACCTACAACAGCGTGACCCGTAGCAACAGGAGAATGACTCAATCGTGGCTCACGGCCTTAACAAATTTGAACCACTAAGATAACGGAGGCCTGAAGCCGTGATCATTACTGTAGAGGGAGAGAAGAACAAAACTACAGACAAACACAATACGAGGCAGATTTCTGAATTTTCTATATCACTCACACATTTCTCACAGACCCAAACTCCGCTCTATTATTAAAGAATACTGTTGCTTCCATTCTTGTCTCAGATTTTGCAAACGCTATTTTATGTAACATGAGAGCCATTTCTCACTTTGTCACATTATTGTATTACTGGAACAATATGGCCTTACTCCTCGTAGCTTTTAATGAAATGACATTTCCTGTTTAGTTCAGGGCTCACAAAAAAAAAAAAAAAAAAAAGGAGCAATTTTCAGCCGATACCTTGAAATTATCAAGAAGAAGTCTGCAGCTGACAGTTCCAGCAAAAAGTATTCTGACCTGCTTTGATTCAATGCTTTTCTTTTTAAATCATTTCTCAAAGAAGAACAGGAAATCTATTTTTCCAGGGAATGCAATACCCCATTTCCAGTGAAGGATTATGGGTAGCCTCATATTGATGGGCATGTTTCCTCGAATGATATAAACTGGGATGAATCGTTCAAGCCGCAACAGTAATGCAACTTTAAATCCAAATCAGACATGGGACTTTAACAAGCTTCCCAGTGTGAGAAGTGATGTAATCTATCTTGAATTGTCATATTTTCTCCCATCTTCTGTTGGTAGAAGATTAAAGCTATCCACAAAGGATTTCAACCCACCACTAAGACACAAAACAATAATTAAGGATTATTTCAGGTTAATCTAAAATGTAGGACTTTCAGAACAAGTTAATCACCAAAGTCACAGCTCTCACTCCATGTGGCATCTTGTCAAGCAGATAGTTTGGGCTCATTGTGCCAAGGTTTTGAGATCTCTGCCTTTGGAGCTTTGGCTTCCAACTGAATACGCCGATAGAGATTGATCAATTTCAGTTTGTGCTCCACAGTGAGAGATTTGTCAACCTGCTGATTAGTTTAATACCCTTTACAATCAATGAGCTGGGCCGATGTATTATACCGTCTTTTCCTTTGGCTCTGCAGCCGATAGAAGTAGAGGTCTAAATGGAAATATAACTTCCAGCATCCTCAAAAGACATACCATCATATTCAAGTGTAATATGTCTGCATGAGCAGTGTGAAAGCTGGGGACGCATGCTAATTGGATAATTAAGAGTTGAACTTGCAATGCAGCGTATTCCAGTACAATTCATCAGATTTATCTCTCTTTACCATTTCATACGCTGGTGTATATTTAAGCACACAGTGGTAAATGTCAACACACCAAGTGACTGAACACGGAGGTGAAAAGTTTATGTTACGATGTTAATTGTGTTGCCACTGTGACTATAGCCCTTGGGGATGCACGGTACAGTGTAAGGTGCATAGCTGTGCATTCATCCATCCTATTTTCTACCGTATGTTTGGAAACAAACGGAGGGAAAGCTGTGCGGCTGGTCACTGGCCGGAGCGAAGTCATAGCTTTCATCCCCATTTCAACTTCAAAAGGTTATCCGCACCGTATTTATAAAATGTCCCATTACTGAACAACGCCGTGCATCGGGATTGTCAATTATCGATCGACTTCTTGGTCCATTTAATATGGACTACAAGCCACAAACACATTAAGCTGGTGCAGGCAATGAATCATCAAAGAAACACATTCTTCATCATCATTGCATTCTGCTTAGAAGAACGGGCGCTACGGTTTTTAGCCCACAGTCCATTCAGAGCGGCTCAAGACCAGCTCTAATCATAAGGCTAATCACTGGAGGATACTGTATTTTACTGTTAGTCTGAATCATCACGTCTACCTGCTGGTGGTGCTAAACGAGACACAGGAGATATCCAACAACTGTACCTGCAATGCTGGCAAAGACTTCACTGATTCCTATCAGCACATATTGAGGCACTTGCCACCATATGGGTAAATCTGCCGCGTGGTAGAAAACGTTGCCAATCATCTGGTCAATGGTACCCTTTGATTTGACGATGTCCAGGCGTTTGGTCTCCAAAATACCTGAGGGGACGGAAACAAAAAAAAGAAAATGCACATCAGCACTGTTAGCTGAGGGAGAAAATGTGGATAAAGCATACATGGTAAAAATTTTGCCACAGGATGCAAAACAACAAAACGCAAACAGGGCAGCCGGTGAATCTAAAGGCTGAAGAAACACTTGTGAAAGATTTAAGTCCGTGACACCAACAAACAGCCGAAATGCTGCCAGAGTTAGAGGATTCAGTGACAGTTCATTAAGCATTTAACGAGCGTTAAGACTATCCTACCACTTCATTAAGATCACATCTGCACGCTTCCATATTATGGCATTTAGTAATGGAACAGTGCAGACGGTTCAATAATGAGAGCCAAGCAGTTGTCATCAACCATTGCCTCCTAAGAGCTTTATTCGATAGAGCTATTATGTAACCAGCGGCCATTTCCAGATAACTCCCAGAGACAGCCTCCTATCATAACGATACTTAATGCTGTATTTGAGAGGAGTTGTGGCCTTGTAATCCGGCTATCCTCTAATACCAGCTGCCCATCTCAGAGTGTGGGGCCACTGGGCTGCCTAGAGCAAGAGTCACACTATAGACACACACCCACTTACTGAACATCACACATCAGACAGCCCAGTGTGATCCCTGGCAACTCTGCTCCAGCTTTCATAAAAAATAAAAATAAAACACCTAAAAGCCATTGAGCTTTAACCAAAGCAGATTAATATATAAAAGTTAAAAGAATGTGATAAAACATGCCAAAAAAAAAATATATAAAATTTCTTCAATAGCAATGTCAGCGCAGCTCTTCAGAGCTGCACCCAGTATGTGGTGGAAGTCCGGGACTGTTGTACAAGCGGATCAGAAGCAGCACAGTGTCGGCTTGACAGCGTGTCTGCTGCCATCCCTTTGCACTACATGGGAGGCCCAGCTGTTCCAGTGAGCAAGATGAAACCCGGTGAAATATCGCCACACCAATGACATCATGACAAAATTCCTGCACATGATGATGAAAGTGATTCTAACTCTGAACGACAGCGGCGTGGCTAATGTTCTGAACAGAGTGGCGGGCTAACAATGTGATGTGTTGGCCTGGCTATTCTTCGGGCAAATGATGCCACACTTGGTCATTCGCATCGTCTGTCGGTCTCTGAACACAGATGCAGATAAGCACTGAGGACACACAGAAAGACAGCCGAGGGGAAAATGCAGTTTAAAATGTACCAACAGTGCAAGGCAGCTCCCAGGAGTCAATGTGTGTCAACGGACTTAATGTGAAGCAAGGCCATGCCGGGGATAAACAGGACAAAGGCCCAGGGAATTTATTGTTGGATTAATAATTGTTATAAATAAGATGCAAATACGTTATTAATACTATATCTAAATAACTCAGAGTACATCGCTGTACAGATTTGAAAACACAGGTCAGAACTGTGTTGCACACTAGCTGTGTGTTCACCTACTGGACCGATCTGTGACCAATAGCCAGACTACTGCAACATCATAAACCCTTTCTCTCCACTACCAGGACTCAAAATTGCTGTCTGCAATATTCAGAAATTCATTTAGCCTGAATTCAAATGCAGGGATTGCACTTTCAAGAAGCCAAATGGAAAAGTAAATACCTAAATAGCTTTTTGAACAGCACAAAATGAACATGTTAGGGCACCTTTCCTTCCAGGAAGGCTCATGTCCTCTGAAAAGAAAAAAATATTACTTTAAACCGAAAAGTAGACACATTAGGTTTGGTTCACAACACTCTGATTGAAAAGGATGTTTTTTGATGGGCTAAGTCAGGCTTTAATAACTCGCTAGAACATCTGAAGACTCTCCCTCAACAAACTCTCTCATCTCTTCTTCTCCATGCTTATATAAAATACGATGAGAGTTTAGGCAATCACCTTTTCCTCTCTTACCCTTAAAAACTCACGCAGACACCTCACAGATGTTTAGAGGGGTACTCTTCCGTTTCATCTATGGATCTCACATTCCGTCTATACATCACCACTTACTGGATATGTTTGTGTCAGCAACTAGTAATATGTGAACTCGGATTTAAGCTGTCAAAAGGTGAGCTTTTACCATATATGGAAAAATAAAATGCTTCTATTAAGATAGACACTGAACCACATTTAAATACCGGGTTGTATACGTGTTTCTCTGTTGACACAATCTGCCGTTAGATGACTATAAAGACGCAAGAATTATCTTTATTGTGCAGATGAGGATTCAAAGAACTACCAATTTCTTTTAAACTAGATGACACAAACAGTAAGTATAATGTTATTTAGCAGCTCCAGTGTTGCGAAGTACATTCATAGGGCAAAAGAAGCACTTGGTAAAATCATTTAACAGAGCTGCTGATTTAAGGGTTTAATATTAATAATTACATAGCTAATCAGATTATAATATTTGCTGTAGCTAAAATATTTTTCGTCTTTTTAATTTGCATGGTCAAAATATTTAATTAACTCACAATACTATTGAATTATCCTTCACAACAGTTGTCAAAGTTGATTCAATGCATCGTTAATAGTCAATGGCGATCTGGTTGAAGCCCACCAGTCAATATCTAGAAGGTCACCGATGACAGAATAGTTCATATCCTATCAGGCGGATGTATTGTGCATCTCAGAGAGGGCAGTGATTGTGGAAAAATAATGTGCTTTGATTCTCAGGAGTGTTACTGATTTGCTTTCTTCCTGCCTTCAGGCATGTTTCTCTCAAAAGAGTTGAGCCTGGATGAATCAATGCAGCCGCGCTCACTGACAGGCCTGGCTAAGACTTTATTTCCAAAATAATCCACTGTCTAGAAATGAATAGGGCTGAGCAGCGCTGCCGCATTCGGGTGCAGTCACTCAGGACCAAAAAGTAAGATGCCACAGCTCCCACTGTTCTCTAGGGGGCGAGGAACAAACGACAAAACTCTGGGACTGTTCTTCCCTTTGCATGTTTTGACGATCTGCCTAATTCTACAAAAAGAAATGGTAGAGGCAACCATGAATCTAAAAAAAGGTTTAGCCAAATACCTGTTAATCACACCTAGAGCTGATTAAAAGAGCAACAATATTCTGTCAGCAACTTATGTATTAGTAACACAAAAACGGTTAAATTAAATTAATCTAAAGCAGTATTGCTCTTTGTCTTGGAAGCACTGACTGCATGTGGCATTCACCACAAGCACCAACTTTGTTGCTTCATTAGTGTTTGTTTGGCATACTCGTATGACAGCGTAGAGAGAACATTTCTGCTTTCGCACTCACCCGCTGCCACGGCCGAACACATAACAAAGGACATCCCCACCGCAATCCTTTTCAGAGGGGAGGGCACCAGGCCGCGGCGCTTCAGGATGGGGTCCACCACTTTGTCCTTAAGGGGAATCAGCATAAGGATGAGCACTGCGTCAAACATGGTGAGCCAGGCAGCGGGGAAGCGGAACGTCATCTGGGGGACCCAGAGGAGAAAGATGAAGCCAAAGCTGTTCAAAGAGCAACAAAGCATGAAAACTACAGAGAATGTCAGTGGATTCCAACACAGTTAACCATGCGTTTGTGCGCAAATGAGTGTACACGTGTGTGAGTGAGTGTGTGTACATGGGGCTCGACATTGCTTTGGCACCCCCAGGTGGTCAAAACTAAGCATAATGAAATAGAAAATATTTATTCGTTTCTAATGTGTAATTTGCACACGAGGCAAAGTGTACCCGACTGAATTCACAATGAAAGTTTTCAGCACGAATACCAAACGTATAAAGTGCAAACCGACTGGATGAAATATCAATCTGAGGAAGAAAATCCATTGTGAGCCGACAAATGATGCACAAGTTGAGGCAATATCTCACCGAGTGAGCAATGAAAGACTGCAAACTGCTGGAGATGTTTTTTTGCAATTCAAATTCCAAAGTACCATCTGAGCTCCTGATGTGGTTTAACGCTTCATTTCTTGAAATAACCACTAGCAATCCATATGCAGCTCCTTAGAAAGTGTTTTCCTCCTTTAGTTCGTGCATTATATTATTCACAACGATAAAAAAAATAAAAAAAAGAGTTTCCTTTACCAAGGAAAGCCTGGCATGATTGACAAAAATGTCCCAGCAGGCCGAGATCTGTGGTGGGCATCGTGTTCTGCTTTTTACTTCCCTAACTGGATTACATACATATGTACTGCATGTACAGTATATACTCACTGTTATTAGGTTGCGACGTCAAGAGGTGATAAACAAGTTTGACTCTTTTTTTTATTTATTCCTAAGAGGTTGGAAACCACTTATGCTTAAGATTAGATCAATGAAATAGGTAAATTAAAAGTACAAACACCTGTGTAATGTAATTCAAACAATTACTAATGCATAGTCAAAAAACATGTACTATACATTAATGGAGACATGAATTACATGCCACTACATTAGAGTAGTAATCTGAGGATCTAATTTTAATTATACCAAATTACAACACATTCAATCCTGCCTCCCAGTTACTGCTATTTGAAGATGTAGTATTTGTTGAGTTCTTTCATTGAAATGTGTCAGGTGAGATGAGGTGAGAGGGCACCTAATCTCACTTCCCTTTTGATGTTGAGAAGTGTTGAGTCTGGTAGCAGAAAAAGGCTCAGTTTTGTTTTTGATACTGGATAAATAGTATGTGGATATAGTTCTTAAACACAGATAAACATCGTTGAATATGAGTAAACAAAACAGACAGTTTCGATGTCTCAGTGCAGAGTATTGTGAAATGTAAGAATATATATTCCATCGACACACAGCCCTGGCTTAGATTGGGTGGTTTAAACACAAGGGTTTCACTTCACGTTTCCATGAAGTCACTGCACTTCACTATCACCCCAAGCATGCCTCCTCAGAAAGAAGAAAAGGTGTACTGTACATACAACACTTCCTAGTATTTTCCAATTTCATCACTTTTAGACCGTCTATCATGTGGAGGAACTGAGGGGATTTCAGTCATCAAAGCCCTCCGGAACATAACATACAATCTGTCAGAGAGAGACACGGGTACAGCAGCAGCAGCACCAGTCAGGACGAAACCGTTGGAGGCGCTGCTTTGGAGAAGTACAGTCACAGCCAGGTCGCTGATCTGCGGGGTATTAGTCTGTGAAGCAAAGTCTTAATTCCTAAGACATTACCAACCTTTGCTGCTGCCTCCAGCTGTTGCCTACCAGTGTGTGTCGGTGACCTACTGACTCCTTTGGTTTCAGTGAAAAATCTAGTTCAAAGCTACTTATGACGCGGCAGGTTAGAGCTCCAAACAGGCATGTTTACCTCAATAGAATGAGACAGTAGTTGCTTAACACGTCACCTTATTGCTGCTTTTCTTTGAAGTAAACAAGAAAAAGGTACTTGGACTGAGTGTCACCACTTTAGGTTACCTGGTCAGGATTGTTTGAGGAATTACCAGGAATCCTCAAATGGAGGCTCTGCAGGACGTATGTCGTCTGCATCTGCAAAAACAATAAGGAGATTAGAGTCTCAGCATGAGGTAACTCTCCCCTTCACGGACCACCAGGGTGTCTCCAATACTGGAACGGAAAAGAATCATCCCTTGTATTAACACATGCGCGTGCTCAGCTGCATTCAGAAAGCTTATCTTCTTTATTAAATCCCTTTATACATTTCCTCTTGTGTAAAGCACGGCTCATGAATTTGGATTCAACTTAAAGTGGGTTGATCTTACCTGGAAGTACACAGTCCAGTACGGGATGAGGGCAAAGAAAACTGGGAGGATTTTCAGCAGGGATTTCACTTCCTCTACTTTCTCTTCCGGATATTTCCCTCCGTAGGTCACTTTGGCACTGTCCAGCAGGGTTGGTTTGTTGCTTTATGGAAATAAAAGAGAAAAACAACCTTTAAGATACTATTTGAAAGAGGAATTTATAGTATAAAATAAACACATGAATAGATAAACAAATACAGAATACACTAGAATTATTCTAAACTCTTAAAGTGCGAGACTTAATCAGCCTTTTTTTTTTTCCAGAAGATCTTACAGCACTTCTAGAGATAGGAAAGAAACTGTATTCTAAAGCCTATAATCCACATCTCTGGAGAAAATGTCTTAATATGGAATTCTTGAAAGGCTTCGGGGATTGGCCAATTTAAAATATTCAATGTCAAGTTTTTTGAACCAAATGGGCTGCTGTGGTTCAAAGTCAAGTAACGGCTCTTCAGAATAACTTTTCACCACAGGGAATGAAGGCGAACGCCCAGACCAGTGGAAAGAAAAGACGTATACTGGGAGGGGGATCAAAGGAGGCCTTAACATAACAGTACACCAACAACACCTAGCTGTGTTATTCCGCTGTCGCCACCATCCCACTTAACTCTGCCATGGACAAAGATACTCGCTTCACTGTAGGAAAGAGAACTTCCCATCGAGATTGATTAATGCTTTGCTGCACCCCGGTTATCGTGAGCATGCCGTTTGTCATTGAGGGAATGACTTTACCACTTTTACTGCCGGACAATACAGTTCCCATCACTACATACGGCGCTCTAAAACAATTGACACATAGGAGGCGACGTGCCGCTCTCACCGGAGGAGGTTAGGCTCCTTCGGTTTCTTAGAACAGCAGGCGAAGGCCAGGATCTTGAACATGTCGGTGAAGGCGCTGCCGTCGGCCGGCTTGGTGATGAAAACGGTACGGCCGAGCAGAAAGACCAGGAAGGAGATCCCGAGGCACACGGTGGGAATGACATAGCCGATCTCGAAGCTGATGTTCTGCTGTATGTAGGCCACACCTCCCAGAGACAGGATGGCTCCCAAGTTGATGCACCAGTAGAACCAGTTGAAGAACCTGCGCGTGGCCTCTGGTCCTCTGTCTTTGACCTAAAAGCACATCCAATCAGCTCATTGGAAGTTGGTAAAGCATACAGGGGGAATTTAAACAGAAAAAAGATTTGTCTCATGGGGGAAAAAACCACAAACTCCTAACATCGCATCAGCTGTGCATCGTTCAAGTTTGATTGCCAGCCAACAGCACGTGTCGGCTATAAAAGAAGTGTGGTCATCAGCACTTTGGTGCGCAAGTTCTTAAAGTCACATTAGAAAAATAACGTTGCGCTCTGAAACGACAGTTGCAATAAGTAACAAAACTAAAAAGTGCATTATATAGACCAGCTGATGACAGGGATGTGACATCACATGAAAATTACTGGATTTAATGTGATAATGATGTAATAAATAGTGCAAAATTGTTGCAGCCCCACCATTGCATGGAATATCTAGTCTAAGTATAAGGCCACAACGTAGGTGAGGGATAACTAAAATAACAGCAACGTTTTGTTTATTCATTTTCTGCTTCCTACACCATTAGCTTACTAAAACTGCGATAAATTCAAGTCTATGAAGGCAAATATTATTATCCTCATGATGGCACTGATGCATTCTGTATGCAGTGATCCCTGTGGAGGAAAAGATTGTATCAATGTGTGATTAAGTGGTTATGCCTTCTTATATACAAGCACAAAAGATGCTGCAGTACAGCTACAATTAACTATTGGGGAGATAATGTCACAGCATTCACAAGCCCATGCTGAGCATAAATCTCGCTGGGGCTCCTCTCTGCAGTTAAGCAGCATCTGTTAAGAAAATAATCACCATGCTCAAACTAACCACCTGATTGATATATGGTATACCATCATAACACATACATAGAGCAGGGTACTTTTATAGCTCCTACATTTAGTTTTGACACAAGATCAATTAGTGTAAGTGGTTGTGTTACGCCGAGCCTTTAGCAATTTCAGGACAATACAAAATCTAATTTACTGTCTTGTTTTAGTGCTGATCCTCCATTAAATACAGAATATGAGAGACACTACATGTGATGTGACTCGTAAAAGCACGAGAAAGGCAGACAGTGGCGATACAGTTTCCCCTGTATCCTGCTTTAATTCCATGTCCCTGTCTTAAGAGCTATCCACCACCAGCTGCCTACACAGATGCATCAGGCAGCCCAAGTAATCTGTAACAGCATGATCAAGTTTCATATCAATAAAAAAATACTCATAACCTTGACTATGGCAATTTTCCCACTGCAAGACAGAAATCAAGCTGCATGTAACAGAAAGTATTCAGTTTTGCTCAAACTGAGCAAAGTTCAAGGATTACCAGCTCCTACGACTTTCATCTGGAGAATTAGCGGGAAAATTGTGCCTTCAATTGATGCAGTTTAGTAAATAAAGTAGCATATTTGCCAACTTGTGTAATGACTTTTTGCGTGTCAATCTGAGGCACCAGCAACATGTACCTGATTTATTCCATATATTGCGGTTTCCTTTCTGTTGTTTGCTACTGTAAGATGTTCCCGTTTCTGTGTTTCTCTTTGGTCTCCATATAATGTATGGATTTTGCTTGATGTTGTGTATTGTGTGTGTTTTTGAACATGATCAAAAGGAGCTTTGATAGAACTGTGAAAATCTTGCAATGAGCATAGTGGGCTCAAGAACTAATCATGCTCACCCCGCTAGTCCACTTTTGAAAAAGGTTTTACTCTCTCACGGTTAGATTCTTTTGAAAAACAATGACCCCATTGATGAACTTCCCATTTCTATGACCCGAGTGTTGTAGAAAGACTTTATTTTAATCACACAAATAGATGTGTTGTGTTTCATTAAAGGCATTGTTTTTAAGTGTGTGTGTGTGTGTGTGTGTGTGCATGTGTGTGAGAGAAAAAGAGAAGTTATGATTGATGTCAGCTTTATAATGGAAATATTTATAAGTGGCCATGGTGATCGAGACCATGCAGGTCTAAGTGAAGTGTCACGGTGCAAGAGACGGTGCATCCATCACATGATATGTCTGACCTCCATGATGTCACACTGCATACCTGATCTTACACAGGCCTATGTCTACTTTCAGCATTCCTCATTTACAACAGACCTTTTGAGAACCGAAATGAACATTGTTCATACTCTACCTGATCTGCCCCAAAGGGAGTGATGTTGGACTTCACAGTACCCACGCCTAATGCGATTAAAAACAGCCCCCCGTAGATTGCTGGGCCACAGTATGGGTCGCGGATAGGGCAGGTCACATTTCTTGGAACGGTCGTGTTTGTGTTCAGACACACGGCAGGTTGCACAGGAAACGCCAACTCCTCTCCACATAGCTGTATCCTGGTGTCGTCATTGGAAATAAAAGGGAAGAACAGCATGCCAAGAAAATATAGGATCAAACTTGAAGCGATTGTCCAGAATTTCCCCAAGTATGCATCCGCCAACCAGCCTCCAAACGGGGAGATCAGGTAAGTAACTCCCATGAACATCAGGGGTGTCTGGCTCGCCTGAGTGCCCTCCCAATAAAAGGGTTTGCTGTTGAGAAAGAGGACCAGGTTGGATGTGATGCCGTAGAAAGCAATCCTCTCTAATGATTCAGCCAGCAGGATGGCAGCACATGCCAGTCTTCTTCCCTGGAAAATTGATGGTGGTGGTGAAGGTCTGGTGTTCCCAGAGTCCAGCAGAGGGGTGCTCTCATCGCCATTCCTGTTGTTAGCCATTCTCACACAACTTAAACGGTTTTGGGGTTCTTCTTGATTCGGGACAAAAAACACCTGTGAAGAAAAATACAGAGGCGCTTAACATGTTGGTTAAACGTTGACATCGAGGTTAACAAAGAGAAAACGTTAGCTTTACGGAACTCACAACATGACTTATCCAAGAAGAGCCCTCTTCCTCATATATAAATAGATGCAGTACAAACTTTAAGTAAGCTAGCTTTAGCAACACAGCTTGGTAAGAAGAGTTGGGTCTTACATTACCTTTCCAAACGCGTCCTAGTGGTCTTCAAATATCTCCATTAACGCAGATGATATTTACTTCGGGTCGTCTTAAATCAGTACTTTCTCAAAGGAGAACTGGAAGTCAACAAAAAACAGTGTCACAGTACTACCGCGTGACACACAGCTCAGTCAACAAACTGTCACACTTGCGTTGACTTAAACGATCTAAAAGTGAAATGTAGCCCACGAGCCTTGTAAAGCCAGGCAGCTGCAGTCTATCCATGTGATTTGTAAGTTTGTTCCGGTGACGCAGGCGTACTACCGCGAGGAGGAAGTAGTGGAGCCTTTTTTTTTTTATTGTTGATTTTCGCTGATTGTGGCATTGACACACATGACAGCAGACATCAGTATGCTCCGTGTGGTTTTGTGGTTTGGTCTTTTTTTTTTTTTTTACAAAACAAAATTACGGAAATGGGTCAATAGTGTCTGTACGGTATGTGGCACCGTCATGCGTTTCCAGGGGATCATATAGCAGACGGACTTGTAAACATTTTCAAGCGTGGTGTGAGCTGCCAAGCGATGAGCTAACCCAGTGGCGCTCGCGCCTACCATTGCTTTACGTGTGACCTGCAGGCATGGGTTCAGGAAATGTGATAGGTGTTCAGCTTAGCGAGCCTACAGACACTCGGCTTGCTTCAGTTTGCCACCTGGTTTTCACTAATGTGTACACGCTAAATAGCCCTGTTATCTCGTCAGACCAGCCTGTAGTGAAGATATGAAATTACTCTTCCTTGCTTGCCTCAGCCCCAAAACTGGGAACCACACTACAGCTGAGAGAATAAGGTAATTTGCATTGTTGCTAAGTGCTAGCTCCAACAGCTGTTGCTTATGAGTACTTCCCTGGTGAGGCCTGTATGAGGCAATAGTTAGTTGACTATTAGCCAGAGCTATCTCCAAATGCAGCTGTCTTCTTTACTGTACAATGGCATTATGGCTGTAGTAAATAAGTTATAAAATGATTCAACTGCCTATGTTACTGCACTGTAGCTTTAGTACATCAGCTATAACATGATTCAGGAAGTTGAAGCTGTAGGTAAAACTGTGTAAACAGCACGACACCAACACAACTTTTGATGATGGTAAAACAAGGCTTTTGAGAAAAGTTAGATTTAATGTTTGTAACTTAACCATGCTGCCATCCATAGTCGTATGTTTCTTTTATTCTAGGTCCCACATTGAATCGGCAGGACACACTTGTGAGCTCAGAGATGCAGCAGCATTTAAGTCTCCTGCTGAGGTGGCAAATCTAATATCTCGACATCCTCCCTTTGAAGGTGCGCTGGCCATTCATCTGCTCAGAGCAGGCAGCCTTCTCTTAGGTAAACTTCCCTGCTGTTATGTGATCTATTCACTTATCTTGTTTGTCAACATACTTTTGGACCTACACGTTGCTACCTGTCTCAAAAATGTCAGGACCTTTCTGTTTTGTGTCTAACCTTTACACCAGACATCAACGTACCCTTTGGCGTTATCTTTGGCGGGACGGATATAAATGAAGATGTGAAAGTTGAGCAGAAGCGTGTGGTTATGGAGCAGGTGCTACTGAAAGCCAGGTGATGTTGCTGCAAACCACTATTTTAACCTATTTAATTCCAAATCGCTCCAAATTAGGTACATATATTTTACTCCAGACGGACATCTTTTCTAAAATGTGTTTGGAAAGGTTTATGGAAATATGTGTGTTCTGTCTGTGGAGAACTGCAGTCACAATTTGCATAATAACTATACACAATAGTATATTATATATATATATATATATATATATGGTAACTATTATAATGCTAATAACCACTATTTTAGACTGACCTCATGATTCTAAAATGTGTAAAAGTCTCATAGCAGGAAAAGCACATGTGCAACTAACAACATGAGACATGTATTCTTTTGAGTCTGTTTGAACAAGTTATGTGTCGTGAGTGTGATAGAAATGTGGCCTCACGGTCGTCTTAATGAATCAATAAATAGACTTGATCGAATCCTAGTACCAAATATGCCAATAATGTGTCACAACGTGTTTTACTTACTTCCTTTTATAGAAGTTTGATGCAGACGTCACCATGCTGAAGTACGAGCAGGAAGTAAATGTGACCATTTACACCTCTTAACTTAACTTGTCCATATGAAATCAAGACAACCTCTAATTTCTTTAACCATATGATTTTCAGTCTGAGACATAATAACAAATCTTTTATTGCTTTCGAAGCTTAAAACAAAGTTGTTGTCACATGTGTGACCAGTGGGAATACATTTAATTTTGCCATGAATCACAGTGATCATCTTTCTAGTAATGTAGATATTAACCATTGCATGACGATGAAAAAAAGTATTAAAGATAATTTTCACCATTACTTGAATTGTTGGAAATCATTTAAATCTTATTTTCTACAGGGTATCAATTATTTTTGGGGAGGAAAAAGACTGGATCCCTGTAAAACGCTCCCGTGCCTGGAGGACTGGCATGAAAGCATGAGGCTGAACACATGCAGGCCAACCCCGGCTGTGCAGGTTGCGCGTTCTCTTCTCCCCTAGTTTAACATTGAAAAGTGTACACAGGCTTATCAATATCCTGTCCTGTGCCCTAACACCAGACCCTGGTGTCTCTGTTATCATCAAGATTAAAATGCAGTAGATGGTAGAGTATCCATCGAGTAAATCTAAGGGGATAATTGCCTTCTGGGAGAACGGGGGAGATTCAATTCTCGAAACAACTTCAAACATCTAAATCCGCGCACCTCCCGCTGCTCGTGCCTTCTCACACAAACCTTGATCATAAAATTCAGTCACCGCTCTGAGCCCGTTGGCCCATTTAATAATGCACGCAAATTAATATCTCCTCACTGTTCTTTGCTCTACATTTCCCTTTGTTTTCCTCTTTGTATTCTTGGTGTATTCATCCTTAAATCCTTTGCCTTCAAACCAAAAGCAGTTCCTCTCCTTCAGCTGTAGCCTGGAGACTTTTGTGTTTTACTCTTGTTACCAAATTGTCACTGCTTGTAAAATGCTAGAACAGCAGCAATGGAAGTTCTTGTTTAACAGAAATGGCTTTCAAAGGGGTGATAATGAAGTTTTTCTCTTTTATCAGGTTTGCGGTTGCATTTACGGACAAACTGAAAGAAGAGGCAGAGTTATTTTTGGTATGATTATACTCTTTTGTATTTAAATAGTCCAACTGCAGTAGTTTATATTGAATAAGCACTGATTCTTGCATCACATGTGCAAACCACTGTATCATGTGACATATGGTTGTTACAGTTGTGTCTGTGCCTAATTCAATATGCTTACAACTGCCTGCTATGCTGAAACCCACTCCCCACACAAATTTAGCAACTAAACTGATTGTCATAAGTAATATTTCAACATAAACAAAACATTGACCCCTGTATTACAAAGCTACTATGAAAAATCAAGTAGTGAGGGCAACCGCTTTTTGTTTGCGTTTTACGGCACATCGGCATACAGCAGAAGCCTGACGGCTTCAATAAATACAACAGAAGGGCTCTTACTATACAAACACAATATCCTGCTCTGGCCTGTAATAGTTTGGCATTAAAACAATATCGGTTTTATTTTCAGATTAGATTCCAGCCGTTGGCTGCAGATTGAGGCGAGGGGCATGCTTTATCTCTGCCATTTAGTGCTGACAGCAGGCCGACAGGACAGGCACTGAGAGGCATCGCCACACTTTTTATTGTGACAGAAAACACACATAGCGGATGAATCTAGTGTGATAGCATCCCGTCAATTTCTTTTCCATCCCCTCTGATTTATTTTGTAGCCCCCCCCATTATCTAAGCAACTGCCTCTTTTAAAGTTTGGATTTCGATTAAATACGTTTGGAGGACAACAAGCTTTAATTGGCTGTTTCTATTGTTTGAAAAGAAGAGAAAAAGCACTGTTGGTAGTAATCAAGTGCAATTTGTATAAACAAACACTACCAATAATTACTGATTGATTTAAAACACTTATGTATCTATGTTTTTGTACGTGTTTTAACCAGAAATTTCCCAATGTCTTTCTCTGAAGCTGTCCCAGAGCAGTAAAATCTATGTCCAGCCCCAAGGTAAGCTCTGCAGGAGGAATATCCTCGCTTGATTGTTGATTTAAATCAGCTTTGACATTTCTTTCCTTCATTGTCACGCTGTCTACAGTACAGAGTTGTATTTGCTCTTGCCATTGGCCACCGCGCCATGTAGGACAGCCCAAATCACTCCTACATGTTGATTCCCACCAGTAGCCCTGTTTGGCAAATAGTGTCCCTCCATAGATTAGAGTAGAGCCGTGGGCCAGCTGCATGACGGATCCCTGACCAGTGAAAGTTTAGCGCTCGTGCTTGTCACGAGATAGTGGTCACGCTGAAGTGCTTTTGACATCAACCGCACACAATAATGTTTTTAAATTCATCCGTTTTGTTTATTTTACAGACAGAGATTAGATCAATATAATGTTTCCACACAAGCTATGCGTTTTATACGAATAACAGTTAAGAAGAATACTAGAAAACTTATTTAAATATTTAACTAAAAGACACACGCTGATATCCGTTTGCATAATGAACGCTGGCATTGATGTACAGTAAAAGCTTTAACATGAAGACTTGTACTTGTCTGTCATTTTAAAGGCATCCAGACGGAAGTGAGTGAGAAATTCTGCTGGGCTGAATTCCTGAGGAGCTCAGGTACTACTACTGCTTCAATTGGTTGTCATTCCAGCTGTTGTCTAGTGGGAGACTTGATCATCCACAGGCCTCATTGTGGACAGTTTGTTTTTTTTTAGTTTATTTGCCTTCAGTAGAAAATATTTGTCAATGAAAGCTATTCTGAGGGAAGTCTGCGGATCATATTTAGTTTTTGTCTTTTTGGTGTACTGTACCCTTTCAATGGCATGGCTGAATCATACATTTTGAAATTACGGTGGTAGGTATTTGTCATACTTTGAATATACTGGTTTTTTTTTGCTAAATATTTTATGCTCTTCAACAACTTGTTATTGGCAAGTCTCATTTTGGTCCGACTGGGTCAGTCTGGTCTAAGCATTATTAACTCCACACTGAAATTCAAGCTTCCTGGAAAATAGGTTTTATTGGCGTCGTTGTGACCTGCCATACACAGATGTGCCATATATTTGAAACAGTTTGCCTTATTGAACATGAATGCCCTCTGCCATATTCTAGACGGCGCCCTCCTCTCATTTTCTCCACTATTAGTCATAGATTGTGCAGTGTAGTGGAGCCCCCGCTGGGAGCATGATGGGGAATGCATTCAGACATCCCCTACCTGAGAAGTACCAATCAGAGAGCATAAATTCACTCTGTGCTATGTTCAGTGCATCAATGTGGTGGTCAGGGAGTCCAGAGTTTCATTTTCCCTTCTCTCCTCCAGCTCCCATTTGAATAGCTCAGTAAATATGGACCGTTACTCCGAGCATCCTCTCCACAAACGGCCCATTGCAAGATGATGTCCATCCCAGGTCATTAGTGCTCATATAGAGCAACGTTGAATACAGAGAGCGCCAATTGATTAATAGCTCTCTGACCCGGGTCCATTTTTCACCGCGCTTCACAACCAGTGCGAGTAATACTAATTGCCCGCAGTCACTTTTGTTATACTGGAAATAGGAGTCACAGCTATTGTGCTTTCCCTCAGTGATGTGATGAAAGCACTGTGATCTGACTCATGGTTGCTTTTAGTGCTGGAAACATAGTTCTAGTTTCTGCGTATGTGCTGTCTGATTGTGTTAATGTTTGGTGGATGTGGGTCAGATGGGTTTAATATCAGTAGGGGAAAAAAAGTATCTTTCGTTGCCACAGTGTTATCAGTGCTTTGACAAGGAAACACATGCTCTGGATTCATACATGTTTGTATGTAATAAGGACGAGAGGCAGAGAGGAACTTTCAAATAAAATGATAACTGATCCTCCTGTTGTATATTTTCTTTTCTTATCATAAAACTGAAAACTTTAAGGATCATTGTTTAGTTGTCATTAGGTGGTCTTTCTACATCCTCCTTTTGACCTTTTTAAAGACCTGCTTTGTCACCTTCAACAACCATTTTCATAATGTTTTAGTTTTCCTCAAACAACAGCACATGTGACATTAGAGACTCCTGCAGCGATCTGTATTCTGTTGTGACATAAATTAATCATTACTAAAAGCAGTTTTATATAAAGGCTGTCACCTTGTCCAGCTGCTTGATCCTCAAGGGATAGACTGATTGTTGAATAAATGACACAGGGAGCCTTCAGTGAAGTCTGTATGAATTGATTCAATTTAATTAAAAATCAAAGGACGAGGTTAGGTGTCAAGTGTAATGCCTATTATCATCTTACAGTGTGGCAACATGATTAGGGAACAGTGTTTGTGCCATAGCAGGCATATAATGCGTTAAGGTGGCCTTGTGTTCCTCGGCCAGTATATTACATGGATGAGTTTGCGGTTGTTTCAAGCCCCATTTTATATGATTGTAAGTAATTATTCATTTAGTCATCTTGGCTGACCAAAAATGTGTATCTCTCCTCGGATATCTGGCTTATCTCTAAACATGTAGTCCTGGTGTGGAGAGAAGGAAACTAGCCAAAGTTCTTCTGACTTCAGATTTGGGACAAACACGTGCAACCTGGGCACAAAGTATTTTCTCTTTGAAGCTTGTTAGCTGCTTTAAAACATTCTCTGGATTTCAGTCGAAAGGTTGATTGTCAAAACCTCTTTATTCTGTCCGCTCCCTGCAGTATCTGTTCTCTGTATCACCCTGTGCCACACTACAGAGGAATAGGCGCTCTTCAGATAGATATGTGCTGCCACATCCATGCGCGCTCGCATACTGATTAAAGCATTAGGGGGTTGTTCAGAATACCCTTCTGAAACCAAAGGCAAACGAACAAAAATGTGTTTTGCATAGAACTCACAGAATTGCAAAGAAAGAGAGAGAAAAGAGTGCTGCTGGCACAGCTGATGACTTGTACAAATTTGCCTTTCTCCCCCGAGGAAAGATGAATTGCGTCGTTGGATCCAAAAGGATATTCTTTTTTATCATTTCTTTGAATTTCTTGCTCATTTTGACATATTGTGCTCTTGTATGATTCCAGCTGTCCTCCTCCTGCATCTCTTTCTGAGGTAGAGACATGTTTGTTTCCCTCAGCTGACGTGCTCTCTCATCCTGTGAATCAATGCGGGGATGTTCGATACTTCTTGCAGATGAAGAGCTTTTTTTGACAATCGGCTCCTAAGATCAGGGTCATTGCCCAGACTCCACACTGTCATTTTAAGATGCTTTAATAGCATTAAAAGAGCTGCCTCGGCCTCCTGATCTGGGCTTATCTGGCAGCAGGGGATTTCACTCAACTGTCACTGTGCTCTAAAGCGCGTGAACGTGTCTGCCTGGTATTATTTTCGGAATGGTTTGTTTCTCGGTTTGTCACAGACACTTTCAAAATACATTTTTATTATTGGCTTGTTTTGTACTTCCCTTAAATTTTGGTTCAACACTATCAGTACTATCTCACCATTTAGGATTTATCCGTTTGGATCGTTGTCGAGCATAAAAGGTTAGGGATTAAAAATGTATTTTCTGACACTTGGGTAACCCTCTAATGTTAAATATCTCTCTACATCTGCTTGTTTTAATATATGTTCTTATGTTTAGCCAGTAGACCGTGACCTTTAAATGTTGCCCTTACACCAACCTCAATTTAAGCCTACATAAAACCACGACTGCCTTCTCTGGCGTTGTCAGAACAGGTCATAATGGCTTTAAAAGTGATGGAACATCCTGTCACATCACCTACAGATATTCATGGTCCCCACAGGATCTAACCTCCTGACATTGGTGATCTCCAACTCCTCCTCTAGTGCACAAGCGGGTCAAAATTTCCACTCGGTGAAATATCTTAACATCTACTGGATGGATTGCCACAAAACATTAATGGTCGCCAGATGATGTATCCCATTGACTTAGGATCCCTTAACGTTTCCACGAGCACACCCATGAGGTGGACATCTGTGGTTTTAAATTAAATACCATTGGAGGGAATGTCATGAGATTAGTGTCCCCCTTAGTATAAATATAATAATGCTGGTGATCCCTTAACTCTCCATCTCGCACCATTATCAGGTCAACATTTCATTTCACTTTGGTTAATGACTGCAAGGCTAGTGACCTTCCTATCAGCTGTAGCTTGTGTGCTGTAGCATGCTGATACACAAAATCAGATGGTGAACATGGTAAACATTATACCCACTAAACATCAGCATGTTGGTGAAAAAAAACACATAAAAAGCACAGCATGTTCTTCAGGATTGGAAATTCAGGTTACTGAATGATTGCTTTTGCTCAGCTTGAACATGAGCCTGATGAAGCGCTGAGCGACACACGCTGCTCTCTTGATGTTACTGTGTGTTGTGTGATTATGCAGTCTCCATACCACAAACTCTTGTTGTTTCGATGATCAACATGTTAGCATTTTCGTTGTGAGGATGCTACGCTCTGTCCACTAGGCGGTTGTGAAGGTGATTTCATTCAACCTCCACTTTATAGTAGTAATAGAAGTATGTTGTTCTCTATTTAAGTCAGAGACTTACACTCCCAGTGTGTGTGTTGCCATCATCAAAGTGCAGGGCTCCGTCGTCAGGGTCAGGACTTGCATCTGTTGCTTTTGGGAGGTCAGGTGCAGAACAGTAGTTGTTGGCAGTGAGCACAGTTGTTTGCCTGCCAGTTTCTGACTAATCTTTGGATTTAAGGTTGGATGATCCGGGAAAAGAGACGGACGATTTAGTGGCACTCCCTCTCAATAAAAGCAAGGTTTTCAAAAAGTCTGATGTTGTCAGCGCGATGAGGGGTTAGCAAATGTTATTCTAAGGCTGTTCAGTGAGCAAATTGTCACCCAAACACTGTGGCTCTGTAGTTATGATGCCGTATTACACACTGATTAGGCTGCAACCTTCCAATGTATTCAGCAGTCTATTTCCCTGCTGAATGTTACAACTGCTATCAGAGAATCGTGCGAGTACATTAGTCACCGCTGTCTTATTTTCCTCATGACCTTGGGTGATGTATTGCTTTCATTATCTGCCGACGTACTCGGGACCTTCATTATGCAGTGTTTTGATACTGGCTTCTCTCCAGGTGTGAGCAGTGAGCACGTGGACGAGCTGCGTGTCTTCCTGTTGGTCTGTGGCCTCAGAAGAGTCAAGGACCCCCTCTATCTGGTGGAGGTTTTTTCAGGTATACCATCTATTTTATAAAGTGTATGTACTGGTAATGAAAAACTCAAGACAAACACATCGTCGGGGGGGGGGGGTGGTATCTCTTGCTGTCATGTTTTCAGCAAGTTCAGATGTCGGGTAAACTCCCAAATTGCAAAGCCTTTCTGACTGCTTTTCTGTACTAGCCTGTGGTAGAGGCAATGGCAGTGTCCTCATCAATTAGGAATGGAGTAAGATCTCTGCGGTTGAGTTTCAGATAATTAAAACATTTATGTGAAAGTGCAATGAGATTCTCCCGACAGCTCATGTAGGCTCGACAAAGACATTATGCCGTGTGTTATTTTGTTGAGCCTTAATGTTATGCTGTTTCTTTTCATGAGAACTATGTTATATATCTCGTGTATCTAATATATTGAACTTTGAGATTGCCTTTGATTTGCAGCATCAGTGGGTTCCTTTTTTGAAATCCTTTTTTATTGTATGTGACTTCCTCAGCACAAAGTGATTAGAGGGTCTTCAAATTGTATATTGGTGTTTCAGACAGATAGGAGAACTAGTAAAAATACAAACATATGGTGCACTAAGCACGTATGGATGTAAGAATGTCATGCAGATGCTGCTGCTGTTCATTTCTTCCTCGAACGGTTGTGTTTTTGTTTACGTGACCACTTTAATTTTGCGTCTTTCAGAGTGGCATCGTGAGAACCCGCTGAATGTGTTGGTCGTGATTGGGCCACAGGTAAGTACACATTATATCTGCCATGTGTCTCCCTCTGTACTGTGCTCTCGAAATAGAAACCTTCCCTGTGAATTCAAGCGGCCGGTAATCGGATGTAGCAGAGATACTGGCTTTAGCTGTTTAGCTTGAATTAACAGGCCTAACCCTAACCCTGTGAGGAAAAGGCAATCTTCTGCAAACAGGGCGAGGGACAGCAGCAGTGGTTACTGCTTCTTTTTGTCTAACTGGCTGACTGCTTGATACATTATTTCTCCAGTTTAGCACTTGCCTTTGACCTGTAAAGAGCTATCTCAGTTTAATACTAAAGGATGGGCATATATCTATCTATCTATCTATCTATCTATCTATCTATATCTGGACATGTGCTGGTTTGAATTGCAGCCAAAGCAGTTTGTACCCCTGCCCCACACCATCATGCCTTTGTCCTGTGTATCATACCTGAAGACAACTGCACACATACAGGCACCACGGCTTCATGTCAAGCTCGTCAAAAAGCATTTGAACTCTTACAGCCGGCTATAATTGACGATATTCATAAATCAACCAGTCAGCCAGGCAGTCAAATCAGAGGAGGGAGTTTTATACATTTACTGTAAAAGCATTGACTGATTGCACCTTGTTAGAGTAAAATTATATCCCAGTAAACACCATCAGCCTCACTGCTCTTACAACTGTTCTTCCCCCCCCCCCCTCTATTCACGTTTCATTGCAAGGCTCTCACTTGTTGTTTTCTCTGTGTGTTTGTCTTCGTCTTTTCTCCCCGTCTTGCTTTGATATGACACCAATATACAGTATTTTAGTATCTGTTCTTTCTTTCAAACAGTGATGTCAGACAAAAGGTATGTTCTGCTTTAGAGTTGCTCAAAAACAACTCAATTAGACATGGCCAGGGGCTTATACACTGTCTGACTGCCGCTTCTTGTCCGCTATGCTTTGTTGTTTGATGAAATGGTTCAGTGGAAGCGCAGCCGTGTGATTCATCTCGACACCCCTGAATCACAGGGAAAGCGTGTTTGTTTGTTTGTTTGTTTGAGAAATGAAAAGCCATTTATTATCATGATAAACAAATTGTTTTTGTATGACTGCCAGATTTTCCCTCGATAATTTTAGGATTCGTGCAATAGATTTAATGAAGGAACCTTAATTCCTAAAAATACAAATGAGACATGCTTTGCTTAGGCTGTCATGACGTACTATAAATCCACTGCCACTACAATCTAGTAATAAGCACTCTGGCTGCACGGCATCTGTCATTAAGAGGAAATTTCAGGTCAGTTTGTCAGCGATGACGCATCTCACTGCTCTGTAACTGGGCTCTACTGGGCTCCATCAAGCACCACGTGCAGCATATTCCGTAGTATTGAATAAAACAAATCGAAAGATTATTCTTAAAATTGAATATTAGATCTTGGGATATTTGCATTAAATATTAGTTGCTTAGTAACAAGAAAATAATGTGGCAAAAAAGTACCAAAAAAAAGGAATGACAGATTCACTGGAAGAATTTAAATATATATATATATATATATATATATATATATATATGTATGTATGTATATAT